AGAAGTGACACTGCCCCTCAGATCTTCTACTCCCTCTTGACTAAAAGTGTGCCTCTCTGCCCTTGAACTATGACACAGAAGTGGGTATAGGCAATGCAGTTGGCAATCAGCTTCTGGTCATACGTCTAGTGCTAGCCAAGTCCTCATATCATCTCTGACTTTGATAGTTTCTAAGGTTTTTGCTGTTTCTGTTATATTCCCCTAGTCCCACCACTGGTGTTTCATCTATATGGGCTCCAGGCCAGCCTCCTCCCCTATATTACAGATCTCCCTTTCTGACCTCCTATGTGATCTTAGGGTTGAAGAATGTCTCACTCTGACTTTTTGTTGACTCTGCCACTCCAGAATTCAATTTGAGGAATTATTTTAATGTTATTTGGACAGGAATGTTGAGAGAGATCAGCTGAGTGCCTTCTCTACTCTGTCATCTTGGCTCCCTCAAAAAACATTTATTTAACAACCTACTGTGTGCCAGGCACTGGAATCTTCAAGGGAACTAGGGATTCCAGGAGGTAGAGATGAGGAAGGAAAGTGTCCTAGTCATTTAGCATAGCCTGTGCAAAGACAGGAAGGTAAGAGATGGAACAATATGTATAGGGCATAGCAAGGAGGCTAGTAGGGCTGGAACATAAAGTGTATATGGAGGAGTAATGTGCAATCAGCCTGGAAAGATAGGGTATAACCAGATTACAAAAGGCTTTAAAAGCTAAACATGGTAGTTGGCATTTTATGTTAGACATGCATTGATCTTGAGAATGCCAACATATTCCTTGGTGCTGTGATTCACGTTCTTTTTGTCTATATGTTCATATTCACTCCTATGGCTTTGGTAATCATCTCCATTAGATGACTCCCAAATACAGACAGAGAGAGAAAGAGAGAGAGAGAGAGAATGAGAGAGAGAGAGAGAGAGAGAGAGAAGAGAGGAGAGAGAGAGAGAGAGAGAGAGAGAGAGAAGAGAGAGAGAGGAGAGAGAGAGAGAGAACACCATCAGTCTCCCTTGAGTATATCTCCCATTTCCAACTGCCTAATGAATACCTCTATGTAGACATCCCATTTGGACTCCAAATTCAACATAACAAAAATTGAACTGATCCTCCCACCTAAACTTATTCCTTCTTCCAAATTCTATTTCTGTTAATGCAACCCCAGTTTCCCAGTCTCACAGGTTCAAATCACATAATAATATTTAACTCTTCCCTCTTCATTACATGTCAACTCCCTCATAGATAGGGAAACTGAGGCTCAAAGAATTTATGTGACTTGTATAGGGTCATTCAGCTAGTAAATGTCTGAAGTGTGATTTAAACTCCCTGACTCCAATCCAAGAATTCTATTCACCATACCACAGAGATGGAGATCTGGTTGTCATTCTCCTAATCAAAAAACTCTAGTGGCTCCCTATTGTTTTTATGATAAAACATATACTGTTTTGTTTGCCTATTAAAGTCCTTCACAACTTGGCCCCAACCTATGTTTTCAACCTTATTATATATCATTTATCTTCTCACACTCTTACAGTCCAGCCAAACTGGCTTTCTCACTCTCCTATAGGATCTCTATCTCTTGCAGTGCATCCTCCATACCTGGAGTGCACGCCCTCCTCACCTCCGTGACATAGCACATACTTCTACATGAAGCTTTCCTGGATTCCCACATTAGCCAGTGTCCTACCTCTCAAACTACCTTATGTTTATTCTCTTCTAAGTTTATTCTGTATACATATACACACGTGTATATGTACATATAAATATGTACATATGTGGTATATGTGTGTATGTATGTATGTATGTATGTATGTGTGAGAGTAGGGATTGCTGTTTTGTTTTATTTGTCCCATAGTGGCACAGTGCCATAAATACTTCTGAATCAATTCATGGATGGAAACCCAGGGAGAAGAAAATATCCAGGAAGAGAGAGGGGTCACTCCAGCAGTATCAAAAGGCTTAAAGAAGATGAGGACTAAGTAAAACAATTTGAAATTTTTAGGAAAAAAAGCTACTACATCATTTATATAATTTCCCCGGGAATTCTACCACTGGGTTTCTAACTAAATAAGTGCAGTGACAGAAAAAAGAACCTATCCTCTCCATCTTGAGATTACTTTTTTAAAACTTTATTCATATTTTGTATTTGATGACCTGTGAATGTATTTCATCCTACAAATAGAAGGAACTCCTTAGAGAAAGAAGTATTTTACTTTTGTCTTTGTATCCCCACCACCCAGTACAATGCCTCAACAAAAGTTGTTGAGTTGAATTGAGGTGCAACTTATTGGCCATAGCAAAAAACAAGGAAACAAACTTTTGTGGCCAACAATTGAAGGAATGGCTAAAAAATATTTTGGTATATGAATCAGGTATGACATTATTGCACCAAAGTGATAACCAAGTTAAAAAAAATCAGAGAAGCATGGGAAGACTTATATGAAGTGACACAGAGTAAAGAAAGAAAAAAAAAACAAATAACAAAATTATACACAATGACTGCAGTCACACAAATAAAAACAAAATTTAAACAACAAAATTAAGGGAAAGTCAGTGGGCAATATTGAAGCCAATATCTGGTGTTAAAATACATTTCCTTTCTGTTAAAAAAAAACTATAAAATCAAAATGTTCTACACTGAGGATAGAGTAGGTTTTTGAGTAAAGAATGCATGACCACTTAAAGATTTTCTAGAAGCTGTTTCTATAGTTACATATTTGTGTATGATCTCTACTCACTAACTCTGAGATTCTGCAATTTTAAGATTCAGGCATTTTTCTATTTTCAATGTGTTTTGACATTTATTATTTTATCCTTACAAAAATCCTAACAAGGAAGGAAAGCAAGTATTACTATTACTATACAAACATTATACATGTCTTTGTGTACATTGTTCTCCTGGGCCTGCTGACTTCACTTTGCAAGCAGTTTCTTCTTCCTATGAGTCTCTTAAATTGTGTCTTTGCATATCTATTACCATGTTATAATATTTAATTATATTCATATATCACAATTTACTCAGCCATTCCCCAGTTGATGGTCAGCCTTTAGTTTTCAGCTCTTACTTTTTTTTCTCCTTTTAAACCTCACTTCAGAATTAGTAAAAGTTGCATTGTCTACTTCACAGACGTTATTAATCTATTCAAAACAGAAAACAAACACAGATAATAATAATAGCTTTCATTTATCTAGCATTTTGTAGTTACAGAACATTTTATGAGTGATTCAGAGTGATACAGTGGAAAGAACACTGGCTTTGGAGTGAGAAAAAAATGGGCTTCAAAACCTGCCACTGTTATTTACTTCCAGCTTGACTTTGGGCAAATATCTGAGCCTCAGTTTTCTCCTCTGTAAAATGAGGGGTTTGTTCCAAATGGCCCCTAAGTTTTCTTCCAGTTCCATAATCCTATATCACTGCCTTTTGAAACTCACAGCAATCTGATGAGGTAGGCATTATAAATATTATTATCCCCATTTTACAGCTAAGAAAACTGGTTCAGAGTAGTTGCTCAGGGTATACCTAGCTAATAAACGGCAGAACTAAAATTAAACACTAGTTCTTCTGAAGCCAGATTCAGTGCTGTTTATACTGCTCCGTATTATACAGTGTGGTTTTAAAATATTATTTCTTTATACTAGGGAAGGCAGTGATCATATAAACTTAATAACCAAAAGTAGTTGAGAAGACTCTGTGACCCCATGGACTCCTGCCTGTCTTTACTAATCATCCTTACCTCTTGCCAATGCTCTGCAAGCTCCCATCTCTGACCCTCCATAAACTCACCACCACTTAGCCTAGATCCATCAAGTTTGTTCTCTTATTTCTATTACAAACAGATGGTTTGTATTGACATAGCCACTGAACCATATGTTTTCACTATATAAAAGTCTGTCAGTCAACAAACACTTATTAAATGCTTACTATGTGCCAGGCACTGGGCTAAGGTGCTGGGGAAAGACAAGGGAGAAAAAACAGCCCAAGCATTGAAGGAGCTCATATTCTAATGATGAAAAGAAATATACATAGTATATTACTCCAGAGATGGCAGGTGAGGACAGAAGCGGGGGTGGGGGAGGGAACTAAGAAAAGCCTCTTCCAGAAGGGAGGATTAAAGAAGAAAGTTTTCATTTGCCCATGCAGATGTTTCTGTTACTGCCATAGACTCAAGTATCAAAAAACTATTTTGACCAGAAAATCTGAGTCAGTCGTTTCTATGTAGACAGTCTCATCCCCTTATTGTTATACTTATAGACTTTCTTTTTTGGGGGGTCCTGGAGATTATCATTTTTGCTAAAGGTATATGCTGATATTCCATGCTCTCTCTCTGTCTCTCTCCCTCTCTCCCTCTCTCCCTCTTTCTCTCTCTCTCTCTCTCTCTCTCTCTCTCTCACTTCAGGGCTGGTGCTCTATCCACTGTGCCACCTAGCTGCTCCCTTCTTTCTTTTTTCAAACTACAGAATGACAGGATTTTTTAAAGCCTTTTCTGATGTGGCATTGTGATGGAAGAATTTTTTTTTAGTAAGCCAGGGTCAAAAATCATGTACAGAAATTATATATTACATTTTTTTCAATCTATATGACCCAAAGATGTGGTATGGCTCATAGGGATAGGGATTAGACCTGATTTCATTAGTATAAAGGACTACAGTGTGAGGGAACTCCTTCCACCAATACAGGTCAATGCCTTCTCTGAAACAAGGAGTTTAATAGAATTGCCTAGTACACTGAGAGGTTAAGTGACACAACCAGTATGTGTCAGAGTCAAGATTTGAACTCAGGTCTTCTTGACTTTGATGCAAATACCCTGTCTACTATACCACTCTGTCTCTGTATGGTTCATTGACCTCTATACTGACTGTTTTCCTCCTTCCAAATAAATGGTATGCCTTTAAATTTTCTATCACAGAAGATTCATAGTATGGACAGCTCTGTACTCCCTCCCAAAGAAAAGTGCAAAAATACATTTTTTTATGGACTATTCACTCATACTGCCTCTCTGTAACTTTCTTTAGGAATGCCCCAGTGGTGTTGTTAATGAAGAAACCTTCAAAGAGATTTACTCTCAGTTCTTTCCACAGGGAGGTAAGTACAAATGGAAAATTGTTAATATGCTCTGAAAATGAGCATTCCAGCTGTAATTTGGAATATGATTTTGATCTTCCTCATGTCCCTCTGGTTGTTAAAATGATTGTGTATTTTTAAATAATGTACAGCGGTCACAACTGAAACCAACACATGAGCAGTTAGATCCACTTTTAATACTGGTTTTGTTAAAGAAGGAAAAGGAGAAATCTTTTTTTATTATTATTATTAGGTTCTATAATGACTTTAATGATGATGGTAAGGAAATACAGCACAACTATGACTGTCTTTGAACGTGATTAGTTTTTCTTTGTCATTTTCTTTGTCTTTAAGTATAATGTGCATCATTAACATTTTTGCCATCACTTTCTTAACTGTAGACATTAAGAAATTGATTAAGTCAAGCCCTGATTCATAGCATTCTCAGACTTCCAAGGTATATATGTTCACACAGCAAATTTAACAATCAGCTTTCCCGAGCCAGGCTGAACTGGTTCTAGCACACTCCTGCTTAACTGTATGTGTAACACTAAATCAGATCCCCTGAAATCTAGTCAAATTCCAGTGCACCACAGTTAGCCTTCTGACAGCTGTTAGGCCATATGTTCCTACATCAGCATAAAAGGAATGAGAAAGGAATAAGCATTTGTACAGTGCCTACTATATATCAGGGACCATGCTAAGCACTTTTTTTTCCCCAAATATTATCTCATTTGGTCCTCATGACACCCTTGGAAGCAGATGGTGTTATTATCCTCATTTTTTACAGTTGAAGAAACTGAAGTAAGCAGAGTTTAATGGACTTGACCAGGGTCACATAGCTAGTAAGTGTCTGAGGTCATATTTGAACTCAGGTCTCTTGACTCCAGGCCCATTGCTTTATGAACTATGGTGCCATTTACTGCCTTAGTATGGACTGTAGTAATGTAGGCAGGATTTTGAAACAGGGGGTTTGGATTTAAATACCAACTCTGATATATCTGTAACTCAGACAATCCAATTAATCCCCTTAAGCCTCAGTTTCCTCAACTATAAAATCTCATCTACTATTGGTCCAAGTAAAGCATTTTACAAATTCTAAAGCCCTAGAGAAATGTGAGCTCTAAGCATTATAAAAGATCCATTTAAAATATCATTTCATTTCCACATATAATTTTTAAATTATTTCAGACTCTGAAAACTATTGAAAGAATTAAGTATATACCTTCTACTCATGTATTCACATACATATCCTTGGAAATTATTACAGCCACAAACACAGATTGGAAGCTTTCCCCCCCTAATATATATTGCTTATAGTAATGGATAAAGTTATTACATGAAACAAATTCAATCCAGCTTCACATTAAAATTTCATCTTTTTTGAAAAAACAGTATTTCTACATTACGGACTACTCCCTACTTAAAATATATTACCTTGGCAAAAGATTTCATACTAAAAAGTCCAAGTATATAAGAAGAAAATCACTTTCTTTACTTTTAAAAATTCCTTGATTGTCCACATAAATCAAAATATATAAATTTACAAGTATTATGTATTATTGATGGCTATAAATTTTGAAAAGAATTGTGACTTGCAATTTAGAGAACTGATACTGCTTGCTCATATTTGCTATAATGCTAACAAAAGAAAAAATGTTTTAAGGAAGAAATTCAAGTGGTCATTGATCATTTCCCCCTGACCTATAAAAGCTGTTCTTTGGATCATCTTTATGAACAGTTTGTCAATTCTTGGTCCTAACAGGACCAAAGAAGGAAGAGTAAAAATGATAGGTCCCTACCGTGTGTGTGTGTGTGTATCTGTGTGTGTGTGTATACATATATATATATATATATATATATATATATATATATATATATATATATATATATACATATATATATATATATACATATATATATATATATACATATATATATACATATACACATACATACATACATTTATGTGTGTGTACCATGCAGCATATATAATATAATATGTGCACAGCAAAATATGCTCCTATATTATATATGTATATATACAGTATATAATGACCATTGTGTAATATATATTACATGTGATATACATGTTTGTAATTTATATTTCCTGTAAAAAATATAATATATAAATGCATACATAAATACTATCCCAAAAATCTTAGTGCCATTTTAAGCTTTAATAGCTTAAACCTATATACATATATACACACATATGCATACATAAATAAATGTGTGTATGTATATATATATACATACTATATAGTATACATACTATATAGTATACATACATATATACACAATATATATGTCTATATTTATTTTACATATTATATGACATTATATATTATAGCATACTGCATATGTAATTACATTAAACAAATTTATTATATATGTGTACGTGTATATATACACACTTATGTGTGTATATGTATATTTGTGTGTGTGTGTGTGTATGTGTGTGTGTGTATGTGTGTGTAGGCCCAAAAGTCTTAGTGCAATTTTAAGCTTTCCTAGTTTTGCATAAAGACTTCTGGAACTCCCTGGATGTATAGGTAGATAGCTAGCTAGCTAGCTAGCTAACTAGATGGATGGATGATAGAGATAGACACACACACACACACACACACACACACACATATATGTATGTGTGTGTGTGTGTGTATATATATATATATATATATATATATATATATATATATATATATATATATATATCAATTTCCTCAGATAAGAAGCTTTATTTAAGGAGTAAAGTGTCCTGTAACTTGTACTGCCTCAAGATATGAGTCCTACACAGCATTTATGGGAACTGTTAACATATTTTTAGAGAACAGCAAGTTCATGGACATGGGAGATGCTGGAATGTTGGCTTTAGAGAGCAGATAATAGTAAGAACTTTTAGGACACTTATGCTTGCTTCTATTAATCATGTTTATATATATGAATGAGTTGTGGGTATGGAGCAGGGTTAGGAACAGATAAGGATCTGTGAGAGTGAGACATGTGAATTATCTGGTGTTCTGGTCATCAAAATACCTAGAATAATCTAAGAGATACATTGAGAATGAGTGAAGTGTACCTGGTATAAAAACAAATGAGCAAAAGCACTATGGAGAAATCTATTAAAAGCAATAACATTTCTAGTCAATGTATGTTTAATATCCAGCTTTATATAGTCTCTAAAATCTACTAGCCCACACACTTTTACTAGGCCATCTAAATTTCAACCTCCCTGTCCATTGCTACCCTGTGTTTATTATTAATCCATTCACTTATTTGACAAACATTTATCATCTGCTTGCTATTTGCAGGGCACAAAGTAATGACGCATCTGATAATAGCAATAACTGATACTGACTTAGAGTTTTGCAGTTACTAAAGATTTTGTCCTTATGCCTTATGTAATTCTCAGAACAACCCCATGGAGATAGACAATATAAATATCATTGTATCTATTTTACAGATGAGGTAACTAAGCCTCAGAGAAGTGAAATTTCTTTCCCAAGGTCACAGGCACAGCTCAAACCAATATCTTGTGATTTTAGGCTGAGTGTTTCCCAAACTTCACCAAGCATCAAATGACATTTGGTTCATACCTATGGTCAGATTAGATACAACTTTAGGGCTTATTAAGTCAGCCCCATTGGTAGTTGCATTGATATTTCTAGTTCCCAATATTCAAAGGGTCATATAAGTAAGTGGTAGTAAATACAAACAGCCACCTTTTCCATCACACCTTATTGTTATTATTAAAACAACAACAACAATAATAGCTGGTATTTATAAAGCACATTAAGGGTTATGAAGTTTATTAAAAATTATCTGATTTTATCCTCACAACAATCCTAGGAAGTAATTCCTATTTTTATCCCCATTTTAAAGATGAGGAAATTGAGGCAGTGAGACATTAAATGTCTTGTCTGGGATCACACAGCTAGTAATTGTATGAGATTAGATTTGAGCTACATATAAACTTGCAAGAAGAGAGGCAGCTAGATAGTACAATAGTCAGACAGCTAGAACGAGTCTAGAAGATTTGGGTTGTAATTCTGTTTCAGAACCTACCTAGCTTTGTGACACTAGACAAATCACTTAATCTCTCTGTAGTGTTTGATTTTTCTCACTCATAAAATAAAGTGGTTGTTCTGGCCACTAGTATCCTTTCCTTCTCTAAATCTCTGATCTTATGAAGCCCATATATGACTAGCTATTCCCTGACCTTTACATTCCATCCTCATCTCCCACAATCATTCATACAAGCTGCCCCCTCTGCCTCTCTTTATCTCCCTTTTAGGTTTCTTTTCTTCCTCTTAGACTCAAGGCAGGCACCATTTCCTCCTTGAAGGATCCCCTCATCCTCTGGTATTCTCTCTTTCCTCACATATTCATAAAGTGCTTTGCCTGACCTCATCTTTGCCCCCAATCACTTCTGGTCTTGTTTATCTGTAAACTTCTTCAGGGCAGAAACTGTTTTAGTTTGGACTTCATATCCCCAATACCTAACACTGGCCTTATACACAGACCAGTGCATGGAGAAATGAACTTTCATCATAATATTAACAGTTAAAACATCCCTGGCTCTGGTATTTAATCAATATTCAACTGAATTAAATGCTCTAAATTTTAATGGCAGTTGTTATTAATATCCTTGTTTTTTACACTGATTTGTAAGAGCTATAGACTATGGTCTTTTTCAGGCCATGTCTGTGGTCAATTATATAGGAAATATACCAATTAAATATCTGTGTCTGTATCAGTGTTTTTTCAAGGGACGTGTGAATTGCTATTAACATCTAGGGGTAATGGGAAAAGCATTTAACTGGAAATATGTTATTATGTGACCTTGGCCAAGTCACTCCCTCTCTGAGTTTCAGGTTCTTTGTCTATGAAATGAGGGATGAGCTCTAAGGTCTCATCTATGGAGAGCATCCCAAAGCTGTACAGATTTAATTCTTCTGAGTCAGTCAAGGAAACTTAAGAAACTCAGTGAAGCCATCTAGTTAAGGGAGCTTCAGCACCTTGGATACAGAATTTTGACATTATTGTTGGGTATGAGAATTAGTAGTTGGGCCATATAGCTGGTACATGGATAAAGGAGATCTAGTGTCTTCTTTTTGGTACTATTAAGCTTCTCTCCACTGTGCCATCTGACTAAGCACCCTCTTATCACAACAGCAGGTATCAGTATCCATTATCACATGGAAAGTTTGGCCAACATTTTTTTTGCTTTTTTACAGCACATCAAATATATGCTGAGTTCAACACAGTGCCTTAGCTACAGTATCTTGCTAAATTAAGTCCCTTGGGAAGACACATTAAAGTACTTCCCAAAGAGTCTAATTAAGGGTTATGTTAGGAGAAGTATCGCTTAATACATCATTATCTAGAAATGCCTTATGATACATTAGACAGCTCTCAAAGAGTTATCATTTTATGCATATTCTATCTGCAATTCAAATTTAAAATGTCAGTGTGAATGTGTTATAGTTTGATAGTTAGGTTTCCTGGGTCCCACAGAGAAGCCATGTTACATTAATAAATGCAGCTTTGTCTTCATTGATAGTTTTGCTTGAGTATGTGACAAGTTACTCAAATAGATACTCTGATCACTTGGGCACTGAATTTAGATTTCATTAAAAGATGAACTACTTTATGAAAGATGAAAGCTATGTAATAATATATAATATAATATATAATAATATATAATTATTACTTTAAAATTTAAATTAAGTAAAATTATTGTCTTTGGGAAGATTTCCTTAAAGCAGTGGCAAGTTAGGGAAAGTTTTGTGTGAAAAAGTTAGTTTTTCTATATGACATAAACATATAATTGGGGAACATAAAAGTGGTTTCAACTTTTTGGGTGCTTTTCAAATTATATTTGTCATGGAGGGTGGGGAGTGGCTGCTGTATCCTGTTGGCTACCTCCTTGACATCAGAAGAGAAAGATTTCCTCCAAATATTATTTTCTACAGGAGACTGGAGGAAATCCATCTATCTTGGAGATCAGTACAATTATCTTCCTATAAATTTTTTTAAATAAATATTTTGAAATTACAAAATTTTGAAAACACCATTTGCAGAGGATAAAGAGTTTGTGGTCTATTACAAATATTGCACTCAAGTGAAATCCTACTCCCGGGGAAAATATACATGTGAATAAGTCCGCTTAATAAAGCCTCTTTCAGAATGGACTTTTTTTTTCTCAAAATAGCCAAACCTACCAGCTAATCAGTTCACTCCTCCATAGGCTACTAAAAAAGTTCAAAAAGTTATGGACTTGGAGCTAGATGGAACCTTAGAAACTATCTTTCTCATCCATCCCCTTATTTTTTAGGTGAGGAAACTGAGGTCCAGAGAGATTGAGTGATTTGCCCAAGTAGGTATCAGAAGTGGGATTTGAACCCAAGTTGTCTGATTCTCAATCCAGTGTTTATTTTACCTTGAACCACACTGCCTCCCTATAGAAGCATGTTCTGGTTACAGTAGGACAGCTTGCATCTTTTCAAATAAAGAATAGTCTGATAACTCTTGGTAGTTTTACACTGGACTGGGCCTGACCTGTAATTGTTTTAGTCTAAGCAGCTTCTGCCTGAGGAAACTCATGTAGGTTGGTACTTCCTTGGAACCTTACAGTCTTAGAGAGGTGTGTGGATCACTGAAAGTTTAAGTGATTTGCCCAGAGAGTATTATAGTCAGAATGTGTCAGAGGCTTCCTTGAACTCAGGCTTCTGGTCTCTTACGAGAGAGATCTTTCAGTTCTCTCCCTGCCACGAACAAGTAAGTATAATTTAGTTCATTCTCATTCAATACGTGGTTTGTCATGAATCCCTCCAGTGCATTGTATGGATGCTCTACATACGATTTAGGGAAAGACTTGTATAAGATTTCAGTCAATCAAGTCAGTCCATCAAAATGCTTCCATCAAACATTTATTTAGTACCTACTGCATACCAGGCATTACCAGGCAAATAAAACTGTCCCATTTTATATTCTATCTGGGGAAAAGATAAGTTTATACATAAATAGATAGAAGATACATACAAAATGAACACACTGCTTTTTTGAGGAAAAGCCTCATGGAAAAAGTAACACTTAAGCTGAACTTTGAAAGAAATCTAAGAGGCAGATGTTCAGCCAGTGCCTTACAAGTATGGGAGACAGGTAGTTTTGCAAAGGCATGGAAGTGGGAGATTGGAGTTTTATATGTGAAGAACAGGAAGAAGGCAAATTTGGTCAGATTTTGAGTATAGGAACAGAACCAATGTCTAAATAAGGATAGAATGGCAGCTGGAGTCAGTTTATGAAGATTTAAAAACCAAACTGAAAATTTTTATTTGATGTTAGAGGTAACAGGGAGCCAGTAAAGTTTACTGAGTAGAAGAATAATACAGTCATTCCTGTGTTTTAGAAATACTTTGCTGGAAGCTGGAGAATGGAAAGACTGGAGGCAGGGAGACCAGTAGGATTTGCATTAGGTCTTGTGAGGAGAGAAGCAGATGGATCCAAGAGGTGTTATGGATGTAAAATGAACACAACTTGAAAGTGATTAGTGAGTGAGTGTGAGGCAGAGTGAGGATTTAGGAAAGTCCATAAAATTTCTTCTTGGTAATTTGGAGAGAGCAGTTTCAGTTGAGTGATAAAGTCAGAAACCAGATTACTAAGCTTTAGGAAATGAGTGGGAGGAGAATAAGTGGAATCAATGAGAGGAGACAGTTTTTTCTGAGAGTTTAGCTATAAAAAAGGAGGAGAGACATAGACAGCTTGAGGGGGTAGATAGAAGTGTCAAGTGAAGCTTTTTAAAGATGGGAGGAGACCTGCCTGTATTTGTAGGCTTCTGGGAAAGAGTAGATCCTAGAGATATTTAAGATTAGAGAGAGAAAGGGGATGATTGCAAGGGCTACCTACTGGAGCAGTCTAGAAAGGCTGGGATCTAGGGTCTTTAGGAGAAAGGCCAACTATTCATCAGAAACCCAAAAGAAGACAGAATGGACCATGATGTCAAGGGGCTTGGGGATGTAGAGATGGAAAAATTGGCGGGGGCGGGGGAGAGGCTCTATTTTTTTAAATGTAATCAACTGAAGTGGTTAGGGGAAGGGCTAGTATAGAAGGTATAAGAGAAGACAAATTTGAAATAGCTGCTATGGGAATTAGGCAGAATCAGGGGAAAAGGTGCCAGTATGCACCTTCTTCTTGAGGAGTTTCCTATACCAAAGAAATCACCAGTCAGGCCCAAATCCAAATTTTTTACTAGAATGCATTTACAAAGATTTTCCTTTAAACATGGTGAAATTAAAAGGAAGGCTGGTTAAATTCAATTAATCAGAATACCCCATTTTCTAGCCATTTATTTACCGGAGTATTATTGTGGTACAATGCAGGGAGAAGGGAAAATTCTGACAGATTAACTGTATACTGTATGGGTTAAAAAAAAAGAGTTCTGCATGCTATGTTTTAAAAACTTGCCTAATCAAGCATAGTCTTACTTTTTTTTTTATTTCAGATTCGACAACATATGCACATTTTCTGTTCAATGCATTTGATACTGATCACAATGGATCTGTGAGCTTTGAGGTAAGTCCTCTATCTGATAAATGAGTAGCAGTCCTGACAACTGTTGCTTTAATTTAAAAATTCCTAAACATTATTGGCAAGTCAGCAATTTTACCATCTTTGAGCCTGGAAAAGTGAAAACAAGGGAAATGACATGCAGGAATCTCTTTTTCAGCACTGAAATTCAAGATACTTTTAAATTATGTATTACTCAACAGCAATAAAAATTACATCCCACAGTTAATTAGATGCCTAACACTTCAAATCTCTGTGGCATGGAAAAAGGTTAAGTCCCCTAATTTCATTAGTAATAGCCATTTGAGGGAAGTCTCCTATTAGAACAGTAAAAACTCAAGTTAATGAATCCCCTAGGACTGAAACTCCTTGATAACAAAGTTAGTCATAATTTTTAAAGACATCTTAATTTGTGGAGGCCAGAAGGCCTAGAAACAGAGTAGAATGTAGGTGGCAGATGAAATTTAGAAAGCAGTCTAGGTTCCAGAAGCTGAGCAGCAGCTAGAGAAGTGATGGTAGCTGAGAACATGGCAGGATTTGGAACACTGACGGCTAAAATCAAGGGATGCTGGAGGTGAGGGCAGTGATGATGGAGGTAGAGCTGGAGGAGGAGAAAATGGCAGCATTGTGGCTGCATGCATGGGATGAGAAATTCATTCGAATACTTCCTTTGTTGATGTATTGCTCCAGTTATAGGCTACCTGAATACAGGCCACATTCCTAAAATGAGGCCTTTTTGAAATGCAATACAAGACATTAATTGATGCTTTGCTGAAGGCAAAGCAATGTGAGAGGCACTAGGGAAAATATATCCAGTTTAGCGCAGACATTGTCTCTAGTAGGGGGAACGACATAGACTCAGATAGCTACAATATTGCATGAGAAAGATAGAACAGAAAGCAAGACCATTTTATGGAGAGCAGGGGAGGCTTCCTGAACAAGATGATATTTGAGTTAGTCTTTAAAGGATGGAAATGGGGTCATGAAGAGAAGAGTTAGACATGATTGACATGACTGAAAACAACAAAGGGGTTTCATCAAATAAAGAAGGGGAGGAAGGGCATTCTAGGTACAGAAAACAGTGTGAAAAGGGGAAAAAATGTAGATGTATTTATGTAACCACTAGTTGTTACCGTGATGCTTTCGAGGCTCACCTCACTTCCTCTCAAACCAGACTGTAAATTCCTTGATAGTGTCTACCATAAACATGAAGTTTTCCTTAGTGCCTCTCATATTGCTCTGCCTTCAGCAAAGCATGAATTAATGTTTTGTATTGCATTTCAAAAAATTTCATTTTAGAAGTGTGGCTGCATCAAAACTTCACATGCCATTCCTTTCTCTGCTTACTATCTTGGATCAGAGGAAAGACTTTCTCCTCTAGTTCCTCCCACCCCACCACCTTTCTTTATCCTCTCCCCTTTTCCTGAGGCAGGGCAGAATATGAGACTTAGTCATAACCTTAGGGGCTAGGATGCCTCCCTCCCAAACTGATTCAGTCAACTAGTTTTTATTAAGTATCAGCCACCTGTAATGTTGGGGATATAAAGAAAGATAAAAGACCTACTTTTGAGGCGTTTAAAGTACAAGGTCTTCTAAAGAGCCACAACAGGTAGCTATAATAATAGAATTGAAAGACTTTCATATGGAATCTTCTCTTGTTCCACTTATGTTTGGGTTTTCTGGAGATGATAAAGACATTCCCTTCCCTGCCCTGCCCTAACATGCCCCTTCAGTAAATTATTTTCTACTGAAATGAGGAGACAGAAGACCAGAGAATATGAAATTATTAACATAAATAGGTTGTGAGACCCCAGGTAGTCTTTTCCCACTAAGCCAGATTGGTAGGGCTCTTAGTTATACACAGTGTGAAATATAAAATCACTTCAGAGTTGCCTTCTCCAGCCCAGTACACACACCCCCTGATCAGAGTTAAAGATATGCCTGCAGACACTGGAAACACGTTCATTTATAATTCGGAATCAGGTTCCCAAAATACCATCAGCAGTGGTGGGGGTGGTGTCAGGGGTTGGAATGGAGTAAAATAGCTAAGCAAAAAAATGGGAAACATTTTTTTCATATCTGTATGAAGGAACATAGGTGCGAAGAGGTGTAGAGAAGGGTAAAGAAAGTGAAACAGGAAGACAATATTCTACTCATCTATAGTATTTCACAGCCAGAGAGTGTGCACTAACACTTGAGAGGAGAAAAAAATACTCCATCCACTGATGCTGAATTTTACAGCTGGAAAACATTCACCAATATTTGAGGTTCGCTTTCCCTAGTCCATTTGCTCATGGCTCATCTGCCTTGATGGAGAAAGCTTTTGACTGAGAAGTCCACTGGACACCATCACCCTGCTCCTCTGCCAAATGCCTTTCTGGGCCACTTCTCTGCCATGTCTCCTGTTGCTCCTGCTTCTGTAAAATATAAAATAGTGGCACCTCTCCTGTTCCAGAAATTAAAAAGGGATGACTACATCTCTTATGATTCTTTGCCATCGTTCACATTTACCTTTTCAATACCAGCCTTCCCCATGGGATGTTAAATGTGTCTTTACAAATGGCACTGAGTATAGGCCATGTTAAGATGTTAGAGAAACTAGATATGGGGGAAGAGCAAACTTGATTTGCTGATGATAAAATATGTTGCTAGAACATTCTCTTCAGTTTTTGAAATATTGCTGAATATAACATAAATATTTTCCAGCAAAAGATAAAAATAGGAGCTGAGCTCATCTAATAAAGAGTTTTGTTTTTAATTTCTATACTTAACATAATTTGTGGTGAATTAGGAGGGCAAGAGATGCATGTGTTTGTGTTTTCTGGAGGTGATAAAGATACTCTTCCCCCACTTCTCTATCTCTGTCTCCATCTCTGTCTTTCTGTCTCCATCACTGTCTCTCTGTCTTCATCTCTGTCTGTCACACACACATACACATACACACACATACACCCTCTTCAGGTAAATGGTTTTCTACTTAAGTGAGGAAGCAGTCTGAATGGGTAACCTACGAGAAAAGCAGAAGGAAAGTTGTCACCTGCTTTGTGCCTCTGGAAAGCATATTGGGATGCCCTACAAAGGGAAGAGGAGGGAATGATTCATGCTCATTACTACCTCAAAAGGAAGAGCACAAATACAATCCCACCTCTGCAACAACAACCACAAAACAAAAAACCTTCCACACACCCCCTTTTTTTATTTAAGGTGCTGTGGGCTAAGAATATAAGAATCAAACTATAGTTCAGCAAAGTTGATGCCAAAAGCTTTTCAGCAGTTTTGTGCATCAGGGAGCAAATGAACCAGTCTCTTCACAGATAAAACTAAGAAGGTACAAATGCAAGTACTCTTGAAAGCAAATTGAGTTTTTGGCAAGTGCTTACAACTTCCTGCTTGACAGATTTCAATTACTATGTGGAAAAGCTAGGAGCAAAAATGAGATAGGCTACATTGAGTTCCCATTTTTACATCAGCACAAAATAAGGTAGAAATTCATTTTTAAGTAACTGTTTATTGAAATGGAGATTGCATCATGCAGAAAAGACTGCATAACCTCAGATGTCATTAAAATGGGGGGAAACTGGTTAGTGCTAGAGGTCCACATCTGTCTTCCAATGTAAATTCAGAGCATACAGAAAAAGAAGGCGCTTGAAGAGGAAGGAGTGGTGAACTAGCACTTTTGCTTTAATCAGTGGAACTCAGATTCCCACCCTTGCATCCTGGGCTCTGATATATGAGCCTTCATTGGATCTTGCCCAGAATCAGGCAAACAACATTTCCTAATCATCTCCAAACCATGCAGCCTTATAGAAACACGCATACTCCCCTTTTGAGAATGAGAACCACGTAAGCAAAGAATATCTTGATATTGTATTTGTATTCTCAGTGCCTAGCACAATCCTTGGCACATAATTAGTGCGTAATAAATACTTTTTTCATTTATTTCTGATCTTGTTATCATGCTGGAAGATGTAATCCCTGTTGATGTGTTTACAAATTCAGAGTCAACCATCTTTTTCACACACATAGCCACCATGTTTTACTTGAAATGATAGTCAAAAATAACCTACTTAGCTTTTTACCTCTATGCCTCTGTCCAAGTGTTTTACAACAGCCACATCACAAAGAATTTCTGACTTACTGTTTGGTCATAATATCATCCATGGTTCACTTCCATTAGCAATAGGTTTGGCAGAGACCTCTAATCTGTCTCCACCATAACCAATGACTGAACAGTGCAATCAGCAACCACATTGGTAGGAATTTAGGAATTGCTCTATTGACATTGCCATAATCACAAACACTCTCTGCATCTAGGAAAAGTCTAGTGTAATCTGTGCTTTGTGTATGGACAGCCCCCTAAAAATCAGGAGTCACTGCCTCTAATGGAGCACAGAACAATACATAAGAAACCCCTCTCCATCCCTATTGGAATGGATGACATAATGTGCTTGGGAAAGGATAATTTGGAAAATGGGATTGGGAAGAGTCCTGAAAAAGGGGAACCTTGACATTAGTGCATTGAGTAGATGTAGTGGTATTGTGCAAAAATAAAGTTCCTACTGTGTGAAAGGTATTATACAAGGCACCAAGAATATAAAAAATAAAATCTTTGCACTCAAGGAGTTTGTCATAATATAAACCACAGAAACATAGCATGTTTAAAGAAGATTAAACACAAAATACATGGGGACAGGACTGTTCAAAATCACATTCATCAAGAAAGGCTTTTTAAAGCGTTGTTATTTATAACAGCTGACATTAGAATTGGGCCCTGAAGGATGGGAAGAGGTGAGGAAGGATTAGGTTTTAGGCCTGAGGGACATTCTATACAACATGGAGAAAGAAAACAGAATGCTGATTTGAGAAAAAAAAACTGGTAGGCTAAAGTGACAGAAATGTAGAGGGTCATGAGCAGTAACAGATGATATATCTGGAAAGGCAAGTGGAAGCCATGTTATAGAGACCTTTAAATGCCAGACCGAGGAGTTTTTATCTAGAGGCAACAGATTTTTAGCAGAAAATTTTGAGGTGTAGTATCTTAGCCTTGGGATGATTTTTTTTTCTTTTTTTGGTAATTATGAGTTGGATGTTTTGGATATTACAATAGTTCTGGTGCGAAGAGATGTAGACTTGAACCAAGATAAAGGTAGCGTGAGAAGAAAAATTCAAAGGTGACTCTCAAGTTGTATTGTCATGGAAGGGGAAGGGAGGAAGGGAAGAGTATCCAGGAACAGGGAGTGATCAACAGTGTCAAAAACTAGAGAAATGTCAAATAGAATTAGGATTGAGAAAGGGCCATCCTATTTAGTACTCAGGAGATTGCTAATAACGTTTAAAAGAGAATTATCAGTTGTAGGCTAGGGTGAGCATCCATATTATAAAAGATTGAAAGGTGAAGTCTGGTATTCAGTTCTTTTTCAGTTGTATCTGACTGTTCTTGACCCCATTTGGGTTTTCTTGGCAAAGATACTGGAGTGGTTTGTCTTTTTCTTCTCCAGTTCATTTTACAGATGAGGAAACTGAGGAAAACAGAGTTAAGTGATTTGCCCAAGGTCACACAGCTAGTGTCTAAGGCCAGATTTGAGCTCAAGAAAATGAGTCTTCCTGACTCCAGGCCCAGTATTCCATCCACTATACCACCTAGCTGCCCCTATAAATAGAAGCTATTTCTTTGACAATGAGTCACTAGACATTTTGCCATTTAAATAGCAGTATTCATTGACAATTTTTCATTCTCTGTTGCTGAGGGGGAAAAAATTGACTTTCTGTCAATTTCCTTGGTTGATGTTAGCATAGGTCAGTGGGTCTAACCTCCATTTTAGAGCTATATTGTCTGCAAGGCTATCTATTACCATTTGTCCGTCCTCCTGGGAATATACATGACTTGAAGAAGACATATCACTACTGAGTCTTCTGGTTTTGGGGGATTTTTTGGTCCAGATCTGAAATTTCAGCAATATAGGGAACTTGTGTTATGGAAAAACTCCCTTCCCCAATGCAGATTGACAAAGTATCTATAACTCATGACGTAAAGAGTTCCCTGAAGCATTTGAAAAGTTAAGTGACTTGTCCAAAGTCACATAGCTAGTGTCTATCAGAGACAGGACTTGAATCCAGGGCTTTGTAACTCCTCTTTGCTATGCTTCCTCTCTTGCAGATGTTCAAGCATTATGTATCTACCTCATAAGACTGTGTGTATGGAGCTTGTTTAAATACATAAATGTGGCTCATGGGTAGCATTGATAAATAGGGCTCATGGTCTAGGATCTGGCCTACCTCTTTAGAGAGCAAAGGCGATGAGTGCATTGCCAGGCTGTGCTCAAAGCAGGGTCGGGGAGAGACAGGCAAGATCTGGGATAGTCAAAGTTGCAGAATCTCTATCCCAGTCTCTAAGAGGAATATTAATCTAGAATTATATCTATCCGCTACCCTTAAAAGATCTCTGGTCTAGGAATATGATAGGTTCAGAAATAAAAGCTATTTTTCTGATTACTCTGAAGGGTAAGCTTACAAGGTTAGTCCTAGCCTTATAACACCAAATGCTAGTTACACAAAAGGTCATCACAAATAGAAAATAGTGAGTAAACCCTATCCAAGCAAAACAGCAAGTGCAAATTTGAGAAATTAAGTAGCATAGAATTTTTCAAAGAATACACAAGAGTGAATGAGTTCTTCATCTGGGAGTGAGATAAGATCTCACTTCAATCAAGGAAAGAGAGAATAATATCACCCAGAGGAGAGGTCCATTTCAGAATCACAAGCAAGGTCAGAAGAACCATGGAGTTGGTTTTTCTATGCATGCCCTCTATTATTCCAAAGCCTTTCTCTTTCTACCTCCACTTTGGAGCTCTTTTCTCCATATGACTCTCCCAACGAGTGCTGGAACCAACTCAGTCCCTTATGGCAGGTGTATGTGTCTTACTCAACATTCTTTTTAGCAAATTAAGTCATCTCCTGAGTATGCAACACAGAACACAACTGTTACTCCCTCCCCTAGCTGAATGTGAGCCAGGTTATTTATACAAGTTATTATAATTTTCCTTTTAAATTATAACCATTATGGCTAGATATTTAATTTTACTGTTTTATTTTTTCCATATGTATTCCTTTCAAATCTGTCTTTGTATGACAGGATGAGAATTTGGATCCATGCAATATTAATTTTAGTAATTACTGGATTGTTGAATAGTTTTCCATTATTTCTTATAATTTTAAGTAATTAACAATATGTTTTAGATTTTTTAGATTTCTGGTTCTCAATATTCTTTGCTGTGTGCTAGTGACTAATAAGCTGTTTTCACTGGACCTCTAGGAGGGCTCCTTTAGATGAGTCACTGGTTACTCCACGCTTACATTCTTCTTGGAAGAAAGGAATTGAATCAATAAGAGTGCTGTTTGTTTTTTTTTAATGGCAGTTTCTACACACACCAGTCCAGGCCTTATGTCACTGTGACAACCATTATTAAGAAGAGAGCACATTGAGAAATTCATGTTTGTTAACTACTCACGAAGAAAAAAGTATGTGAGGAAAATGAAAAATAATTTTTTACTCATGGGTGTGAGGTTGAAGAAGATTGTTTTTGGTCCCAAATGAAATGATTCAACATCTATTTTTTAGTCTTTGCATTGTTTTGTTTGATTTGAAGCAATCCTTTTGAACTCAATCAAGATTATTCTTTATTAAATGTCTACTCTGTTCCAGGAATTATATTTTAATTGCACTGGGAATAAAGATACAATGAATAAAACAGTCCTTACAAGGAGTTTACTTTCTAATGAAAGACAGTGAATAAATGGGATCAAATGAATTACCTATGCCGAAAATGTGAAATGAGAATTTAGTAAGGTTACAGATTTTGCAAAAGGAATTTTAATGTAGTATAATGCTTAAATACTTCTAATCAGCATGTGGTTTATAGAAATCTCATTGCCATTTTCACCACCAATTCTCACCATTTTAGTTTACTGTTCTATATTTCAAGAGATCCCATCAATATTGGACTTATACCTTCCAGTAGTTCAGATCACCATCCATTTACACCTTCCTGTCCTATGTAATTACTGACCATGTCCTTCTGAATGCATTCTATATTAACGCTTAGAGCTTATGTGGGAAAAGACACATAGATACATATGAAAGATGACACTAGGCATTCTTATATAATTCCTTGTCTCATCAGTCATGCTGCTCATTTACATTTAATCACCTATTGAAGGTCAGAGGGATCGGAAGATGCTAAAACCTCTGAAAAATCAGAATCTAAGAAAATAGCATCCATTTTACTAAGTGAATCTTGTCTAGTGTCGCGTCCAGAAATTTACTGCCCTAGTTTTCAATATTTGACAGCTATCATGAGTTTTATGTCATCTTTACTTTTCATTTATGCAGATACCACAGATCTACATATCCGGTATCCGTCTCTCCTCCTCTGAGAGCCCCACATCACCAACTATCTGTTGGGTATTTCAGTCTAGATGTTCAAAAACATCTCAAAGTCAACGTATCTAAAACCGAAATCATTATCTTCTCTCCAACTGACCTCTCTTCCAAATTTCACTATTTCTATTGAAGAAACTCCTATTCTCCTAGTCTTTCAGGCATGTGACCTTAGTGACAACCTTGACTCCTCGCCATTCGTCTAGTCCGTTGTCAAATACTGCTATTTCTCTTCTCCACAATGTCTTTTTTCTCATTCACCCTGTCTCTCTATACACACAGCCATTAACTACTTTAGTTCGGGCACTTACAGCTTCTCCCCTAGATTGCTGCAACAGCCTCTGCTTTGGTCTCTTTGTTTCTCCCCCACTCCAATCATTCTTCCACATAGCTGTCAAAGTGACATTCCCTAAGCACAGGTCTGGCCATGTCATTTTCCCGCCTTAAACAACCCCAGTAAAGCCCGATTGGCTCTAAGATGAAATAGACTCTTCCATTTAGCTTTTAAAGCCCTTCACAATCTTGTCCCAACCTATGGTTGCAGTGTCATTGTGTACTGCTCTCCCTCCCATATTGTATGATCCAGTTAAACTGGCCTTAACTCTGTTCTTTACACAGGACTCCATCTCTGAATTTTTGCACTGGTCATGTCCCATGATTGGAATGCACCCCTCTTCTTCTCTACTTCATAGACTTCCTCTCTTCTAGACTCAGCTCAGGCACCACTTTCAAACTGAAGCCTTTCCTGTTTCACCTGACATCCAGTCCCCTCCTTACTTAAATCTATTTCATTTATCTAATTTGTATTTATTATCTGTATATTTATTCTATATATATTCGTATATGGAGGTGTTGTTTTCCTTTCAGAATGTGAGCTTTTTAAGAGTAGGAATTGTTTAATTCTTTATATTTGTGCCCCCAGACCCTAGCACAGTGCCTGGCACATGGCTATTGCTCTCTTTGGGTAAAATGCTTGTTGTCTGGATTATACTGCACCCTATTAAGTTATAATTTTCTCTCTCTTTAGGACTTTGTGATGGGTCTTTCTATTTTGCTTCGAGGGACAGTACAAGAAAAACTCAACTGGGCATTTAATTTGTATGACATAAATAAAGATGGATATATAACTAAAGAGGTAATAATTGTCTTCTAGGCACGGCTGTTTTTACATTTTCTACTTAGAACCAATTTTATTCTCAGCACTACAGAGTTTTTAAAATTAAATTGTACAATTACAGTCATAGAATTTATACCTGATCCAAACAATCTAAAATATTGCATTGAATTAGTTTTGCTTAGGGAAAATATTCTGAGAATTTGGCATGTGGACTTATGATATTTTTATAGATCAACAAAAGAGCTCAGTGCATTTATAAAAAAAGGGATTTTGACCATACGATTGTTTTCAATTATAAAATATTCTATACATACATAATATATGGATTGCCCTGTTTCTTTTTTAGAAATTTTATTTTTAATACTGATACATTTTGTTTTGATACAATTATTTTTCAATAAAATTTCTCCATAGAATCTTCCTTTAAAAATAGGGCTGAACAAGTTGTGGTATATGATTGTCATGGAATACTATAAGCTATAAAAAAAAATGATGAGCTCAGTGATCTTAGAAAAACATGGAAACATTTGCACGAAATAATATAGAGTGAAATGAGGAGGACCAAAAGAACATTGTATACAGTTACAGTAATATTGTTTTAAGAATGACATTGAGCAAAAAAGTCATTTTGACTATTATAAGTATCCAAATTAACTATGAAGGACATATGAAGAAAGATGTAATCTTCATACAGAAAAAGAACTAATAAAAAGAAGTTTGTATAGAATAATTTTACATATATCTATTTGTGCCTAATGGTAGTCATCTGGGGAAGGGTGAGGGAAGAGAAAAAAAGGGAAAAAAAAGAAATATATGTTAAGGAAATGCTTGGTTTATTTCATAAATTTAAAAATAAAATAAATGTTGAAAAATAGTTCAAGCAAAACCATCTAATTGTGATTCACAGAACATGTTACTTTCTAATGCTATATTCTACCATTTCCTGACAAAAAGAGGAGTGTATTTTAACTTCAGTCAACAGAATATTAGCCACTATATTTGACCTGAGTTCTGTTTTCTTTTAGAGTTACCTTCATTTACATTATTGTAGTCATTGTGGACACTGTCCTATGGTTTTGCTTTTTTCACTGTGTACCAATACATATCAGTTTTCCAGTTTTTCTAGGAATTCTTCAAATCCTTTTTTCCTTATTGCACATTATAGTCACATTTCATGGTCTTGTTCATTCTCTAGTCACTGAGCACACAATTCATTTCCAGCTTTTGCTATTACAAATAATGTTACTATGAATATTTGTGGGTATCTATGTTTATCCTGTCCCTTCTCAAAGATCTATTTTGATTCTGATCACTGCCTCCCTTGATTACTCCTCCCTTTTTCTCTTATCCCTTTTCCCTCCTATTTCTCTATTGGCTAAGATAGATTTCTATGCCCAATTGAGTGTGTGTATGTGTGTGTATTCCCTCTTTGAACCAATTCTAATGAGAGTGAGGTTCAAGCATTGCCTGTCACTTCCCTTCCTCAGTACCCCATCTATTGTAAGTTCTTCCTTGTGTACCTCTCCCTTCCCCCTTCTCCCAGTACATCACTTTTTCTCACCCTTTCCTTTTTTTCTATTTTTTTTTTGAGATCATCCCAACATAATTGACTTACACCCCTGTCCTCTATCTAGGTAGACTTTCTCTAACTTCCCTAAAAATGATAGTTTTTAGGAGTTATATGTATCATCTTCCCACATAGAAATGTAATGTTTAACTTTATCAAGTCCCTTATGATTACTCTTTCATTTTAAGCTTCTCTCAAATCTTATGTTTAAATGCCAGATTTCTATTCAGCTCTGGTCTTTTCATCAGGAATGCTTGAAAGTCCTCTGTTTCATTAAATATCCTTCCCCGCTCCCTCCCATCTTGCAAACCCTCCACTCCTTTAAGGTAGAAGCAACTAAATCTTGTGTGATGCTGACTGTGGCACCACAATATTTAAATCGTGTCTTTCTGTCTGCTTGCATTATTTCCTCTTTGACTTGGGAGCTCTGAATTTGGCTATAATATTCCCGGGAGTTTTCATTTTGAGGTCTCTTTTAGGAAATGATTGATGGATTCTTTTAATTTCTATTTTACCCCTCTGGGTCTCAGATAAAGGGGCAATTTTTCTATATAGTTTCTTGAAATATGATATCTAGGATCTTTTTTTTAATCATGGCTGCCAAGTAGTCCAATAATTCTTAAATTCTCTCTCCTCAATCTATTTTCCAGGTCAGCTTTTTTTTTTAATGAAATATTTTGTATTTTCTTTTATGTTTTCATTTTTTACTTTGTTTTATTATTTCTTAATGTCTTATGGAGTCATTAGCTTCTGCTTGCCCAATTCTAATTTTTAAGGAATTGTTTTCTACAGTGTTTTTTTTTTTTAATCTCCTTTCCCATTTGGCCTATTCTGCTTTTTAGGCTAATTCTGTTTTTTTAGGTGCTGTTTTCTTCTGTCGTTTTTGTGCCTCTTTTACTAAGCTGTTTATTCTATTTTCATCATTTCCTTTCATCACTGTGATTTCTTTTACCAATTTTTCCTCTACCACTCTTAACTCTTCTAGGAATTCTTGCTAGGTTTCTGTCCAATTATCATTTTTCTTTGAGGCTTTGCTTGTAGATGTTTTCAAGTTATTGTCTTCTTCTGACTTTGTATCTTAGTCTTCTCTGCCTCTGTAGTAGCTGTTTATGGTCAAGGGTGTGTGTGTGTGTGTGTGTGTGTGTGTGTGTGTGTGTGTGTGCGCTCGCGCGCACTCATCTTTCCAGCCTATTTCTTGACTTTGAACTTTGTTAAAGTTGGGCTTTGTTCATCATGGGGTGGTGAGGAACTGTCCTAAGCTTCAGGGTTTTTTGTTTTGTTTTGTTTTTTGTGCTGCTGTTTTCAGAGCTAGTCCTGGGGGTCTGCACATTTTTGGTACTTTCAAAGTGATGTTATCCCAGAAAGGTGTGATAACTGCTCTCTTGGTCCACATTCTACTCTTTAGCAAAGAAGAGCCCTTGCTCTTTGCTCCCTAGCAAAGAATTCCCTCTCACCTCTTTCTGATCAGTTGTCTGATCCCTTTACAATCTATGGGCTGAAAGCTCTCAAAGCTGCTGCTGCTATTATAACAGTCTCCAAGGCCCACTGCTGGTGCTGGCACCACAGGCTTTATGCTCCAGACAGGTCTCTATCCAGGTGTCACACACCTCTCCTATCAATTTCCTAAGTTTCCTTAGGCTGGAAAAATGTTTCACCCTGACTTTTTGTGGCTCTAGTGCTCCAAAATCTGATAGGCATAATGAAGAGAAGCAAAAAGAAATACTACATTATGCTTAAAGGCATCATAGATAATGGTAGTTAAAGGAAAGCTAACCAAAATAAAAAAGAATTAACAAAACAATAATTGTAGGTGACTTTAGTGTGCCTATTTTAGGGCTAAATCAAAGTAGCAGGTCAAAAGAAGAAGAAAATTATAGATCTAAAGAAATTTTGGAAAAACTATATCTAACATACCCATAATGGTTATTGAAAGGGAATATAATGGAATAGGTCTATACTTTAGCATCATAAAGCATATTTACCAAAAACAAACAAAAAAAACTGATCATATGCTAGAATTAATAATTCACAGAAAAATGAAGGGCAGAAATATTAACATTTTTACATACTATAATAAAATAAGAATCAATCAGTGAAATATAAATAAGAGGAATCAGATATAAATTGAATAATAATGCCTAAGTAATAAGAAGTTAAAGAACAAAAAGAACACACAAAGAATTGATAATTAAATACATTAAAGAGAAGGAAAATAATAAAACAATATACCAAAATTTATAAGATACAGCTAAATCAGTTCTTAGAGAAAATTTTTCTCTCTCTGAATATTTTTATTAACAAAATCAATCCAGAACTTATTAGGTACCTCCTATGTGCCAGGCAGTGCAACAGATGGTAAGGATACAGGAACAAAAAGAAAATACTCCCTTATTTCAAGGTGCTTAGATTTTGTCAGGAATAACACTGTATAATGTGAGTAGATGTAGATATATAGATATAAATAGATATATGACATTTACAAATTAAAATACAAAGTAATGTTTTTGGGTAAGGATTGTCAATTGGGGGATGAGGATCATGAAAGGTCTCATGTAGAAGATAGTGTGTGAGCAGAAGTTTGGAGGAAATCAGGGACTCTAAATATTGGAAATGAAGAGGAAGCACATTCCCAGCTTAGACATCATCCCAGTGAATCCTCAGATCAAACTTCTCTCTTTGGTTACCACTGTCTTATATGTATATCTCTCCTTATTAAAATGAAAGTTCCTAGAGGAAAGAGATTGTTTCCATTTGTACTTGTATCTCTAGCACTTATAGCACCAAGCACTTAATAAATGCTTAGTAAATTCTTTTTTATTCATTCAGAACTATTGTTGAGGGGGAGATTCTTAATCAGACAAGGAATAAGGAGATTATAAAAGACAAAATAAACTATTTTGACTACATACAATTAAACAAAATCATTGCAGCTAGAATTGAGAAAAGATACAGCTAGGGAAGATATTTGCATTTAATGTATAAGTAAATTCTGACATCAAAAATGTATGAGGAATTGAAACAAATCTATAAGACTGTCATTCTCCAGACAAGTAGTCAAAATACATGAACAATATTTTCAAAAGGAGAAAAATAAACTGTCAATTACCATCTGAAAGGAAGTCAATTCAGCAAATATTTATTATCTATTTTGTGCCAGGAACTGTGCTAGGTATCTGGGATATAAAAAACAAAAATGCAATAGTCCCTGCTAAAACAATGGTTGCAAAGATAAATATACAATACATACAAAGTAAAAACAGAATAATTTAGAGGAGAAAGAATGCTAATTGAGAGGAAGCAGTTGATCCATTCTCTGAAGAAGCTATGGCTTCTACAAGGGTGAGAATTCAAAATAATTCTCATACTTATCAAGTTGGAAAAGACAGCAAAAGAAAAAAAGTGTGTGTGGGGGGGTAGAATTCAATTTTGGAAATGCTAGGGGGTGGCAGACTGAGCAATACACTCTTGTAGAAGTTGTAAACTGGTTCACTTCTACTGGGAAGTAATTTTGAATCATACAAAAAGAATTGCTGAATCATTTATTTGTTTGACCCAGAAATCCAATTACTGGGATTTATGCCCCTAAGAGATTAACTGCAAAAAAAAAAAAAAGGCAACATGTACAAAAATGTTCATAGTGGCATTATTTGTGACAATAGTAGGCTAGAAACAAAATATGTGTGAAAGATTTCAGAGTAAGTAAATAAATTGTGAGACATATATGTGTATGTGATGTTAGTAGGATATTATCATTCTGAAAGAAATGATAAATATGTATAAAGTGATGCAGAGTAAAGAAACAGAGACCAAAGAACAACATATACAATCACTATAAAAATGTTAATGTTAATAAAGGTAATTGTTAATTATGTCAATAAAGGTAAGACCAAACGGTGACAAAATTCAGAGATAAATGATAGGTAATTCAAATCAATACATTTCTATTAGATGATGAACTACAGACTTGGAAGGTAACATATGGAATCAGTCATAATAACTTGAGCACTTTTGCTTAACTCTTTTTAAAGAATGTCCTTTGTGGGGGACAGGTATTGTTTGGGTGTTTATTGGAAAATGTCTGTGGTGTTAAACAAAATGCAGTCTTGAAATATGAAAAACATGACATGAAATGATAAATGAAAAATAGGGAATAAGAGATATCATGATAAACTTCTCCCATCCACATAGAGTAATGTCTTACTCAAGCTACTTATTCTTTTCAGGAAATGCTTGATATAATGAAAGCGATATATGATATGATGGGTAAATGCACATATCCTGTTCTTAAAGAGGATGCCCCCAGCAGACAACATGTGGAAACGTTTTTCCAGGTAGGAATGGAAAAGGAGAATAGTGGGTGTGCAGAGTTAGGAGCTCCTCTACTAAATGCTTCCCTATAATTTGTATAGTTTAAAAATGTATGTAGTATTACAACCAAAATAGGTAAAGATCAGAATGTAGAATGGGTTGCCTTTGGAGACAGTGTGTTTCCTTTCACTGGATATCTTTTTTAAAAAGTTATTATTATTGTAACATAAATTATTTTATTTCTGAACAGAAAATGGACAAAAATAAAGATGGGGTAGTTACCATAGATGAATTCATTGAAAGCTGCCAAAAAGTAAGTATCGTAAGTAAAGAATATAAGATACCAAATCCCCTCAATTAGCTTAATAACTAGGCACAGTGCTGTCAGCTAACCCTCTTGAAACTTTATATTTCTATACACTCATGGTCTTGCCTCCAAGGGTTGACACCAAGGCTATCCCAAGGGTAATAACAAATAATAATAAGAAGAAAAGCAATACAGCTAGGTGGTGTAAGACCTGGGCCTGGAATCAGGAAGACTCATCTTCCTGAGTTCAAATCTGATCTCAGACAATTATTAGCTGTGTGAACCTCAGCATGTCACTTAACCCTGTTTGCCTCAGTTCCGTCATCTGTAAAATGAGCCAGAGAAGGAAATGGCAAACCACTCCAGGATCTTTGCCGAGAAAACTCCAAATGGGGTCACAAAGAGTCAGAAACGACTGAACAACACAAGAACGATATTATATAGTGGATAAAGTTCATTTCAAAGTCCTGCCTCTGACACATATGGCTATGTAATCATGGGCAAGTAACCTTCCTGTGTCCCAAGACACTGTCTAAGACTATAAATTATAGATGTTCTGTGTTCAGAATGGATGAAATAAGTTTCTACCAAAAATAGTTGTATTTCATTTATATAGCATTCTGACACAAGCCCAAACTCATAACTTCTTCCCTTTCCACCGGTACTTGAGCATACATATACAAATCGGATAGCGATTTCCATTGCCCATCTACATTTGTATTTCCCAAAACTTTAAGGAAGGGAACTTCTGAGTCAATATTAATGAATAGTAACTTACTTTTAAAAGCATGTGGCCTTTAAAAAAAATAAGAACATGGATCTCTTCATGGGTGCGACATTTAACAGAAAATGTAGACAATCTGCTTGGCATCAGGATATAGCAGAGTAGCCTTGACAGGACTGATTATGTGGCACTTTTTGCCTACACTGCTATTCTTTTTAAGTATGTGGATGTTTCTGCATATATTGGCGGAAGAGGGTGAATTTATGTCTAACTATCTACAACAGTTACAAAAGAATTCAAGCTTCCAAGTTCATTTGTGCTTGAGAAACATGGTGTGCCTTCCTACAATTCAGGCAAACAAACTCATCACTGTTCATCAATGGGAAAGCATGCACTAGAGTTGAAAATCAGTTCTCTATAAAAGTGTACCTTTGTTTGTTAACTACTTCATGTAAGTGTTTATATGCAAACAAATTATGGTAGAATGCACTGAAAATGCTAAATGGGAAAAATTCAACATTTTTGCTATCTAGCCTTTAAGTACTAATGACAGGCCATGTAGTAGAATGGAGCGAACACTAGACTTAAAGTTAGGAATCCCTTGACCTCAATCTCAATTCAGAGGCTTTCGAGCTGCATGACCATGGCCAAGTCACTCACTCTTGGAGCCTCAGTTTCCTCATCTGTATAATGAGGGACTTGGACTAGATGTGCCTCAAGGACCCTTTCAGCTCTAAATCCAAGATCCTACAATGATCCTATTTCAGTCATTTCATATCAAATTTCCATGATGCTTAAAATAGGATTTTATTTTTAATTTCCAGTCTTCTCCAATAACCCTTTCAGTTTATCAACAAGTATCTCAAAGTACTAATGATTGAAAAAAATTAACCAGGTAGATATAAATCATTAATGCTGCTTCTAGTATAATTATCTCCTCATAGAAATTCCACTACCAGCAATGGAAGCCATGATCATTTCAGTTGGGAGTCCAAATGCCTCCAGGGATATTCCTGGGAAACAAGCTCAAAATGACCACTTCCTCAAATTCAGTGAAATCCACTGAGATGTTAGTTTCCTACAGCACTGAGAAGGTCCTAGATGGAAATGTTAGATGTAGGACTAGAGCCCAGGTCTTCCTTACCTTTAGGGAAAGCTCTCTATACTATGCTACCTCTCCTATTTCTGGAGAACATCCTTAGGATGAAAAACTGCCCAAAGATTCTGCATCCCTACTAGGCTTCTCCAACAAAAATCCTCTTCTGCCATTTTAAAACCACTTATTTAGAAAAGTGGACCTAGACAACTTAGGATCTACAAGAGAGTTCTGAGAAATTAGTCCAATCCCAGCTCTTTTGTAGTTACCTCTGACCTGGCTTTTTTGCCGAGTCCTCTCTCTTGCTCCTACTGTTACTGTTATTATATGTTTATGTGTTGTTGGGTTTGGGGAGATTTCAGTTACCATCAAAAAATAGTGATTTAAAGTCTTGACAACATATCAGACCTAAAAAACATAAAAAATTAAGGTGCTTTCATAAATAGAATCTGTATCTAAAATATGTTTCTATTATTGCTTAAGTTATGGTGGCTGTTATGTGTTCGAGTGTGGGTGCATGTGAGTGTATATTTTAGAGAGGGGAATGGGAGGTCAAGGTAATAGCATACCTTTAACTGAAACAATTCAAATTTAATCTATGTATTTTTGTCTCCTTACAGGATGAAAATATAATGCGCTCCATGCAACTCTTTGAAAATGTGATTTAACATGTTGGTTAGATCTTGAATTTAATAGATAAATGTGAACTATTCTAAAACAATACTTAAAGTTGGAGTTACCACTTTTAGCATAGACTGCTCAGCTTTACACTGAAGCATATTATGCAAATAAGCTTTGTTTTATTATAAAGCCATCCCCAAAATTGTTTATTTCCAAGATATCAATTTGCATCCTTTTCATTATGCCACTGAGTTAATAGGATGTTCCAAAAATTTCCTACCATGAGGCTATTCAAAGAAATGGTACCTGACAAACACATAATTTTATTGATACTCCAACCCTGGGATTATTGAGGCTTTCGCACATCAAAGTGATGTTATGATAGTGTTTTTTGCTACTCATTTGTACTAGAATCCAGCCCAGGATTATAAATGTTTTTCTAAAATATTGACATCAGTGTTTAATTTACAGAAATTAGATTTCATTTCCATATTTGTATGCTGTAATCCCATTTATATACTTTGAGTACACAACAAAACAATTATCGCTATTAAAAAATTATTATGCAGTCCCTGTTTTTGTGGGTTTTTCCTCCTTTTGTTGAAGTCTCCTTTTGCTGAAGCCGCTAATTCATTTATCTGGCATTTTTCTACCATTAGAACTAAAATAATTTATTACCAGATGACAGCATACTTCTTTTGAGTAAGGCTTATTAATAAGCATTTGTTAGTTTTCCATATTAGAACCCAAATCCCACTTAATATACATAATTTGGGACTTGCCCAATTCGATAGCCATAAGTAGGCTTCACACCTCCTATGAAAGAAAGAAAATTAGTGGATCATAGTATCACTACATGAATGTCCAAGTCCACAATGTCCACATTGCCTACAATGAAGACATGGATGTACTTCTCCACCCCACCCCCCAACCTCATCCCCCAGGTTTAAATTAAGGCTCACTACCAGATGAACATCCAGTAATACGCATTAATGATTAATAACAATTAGCCTAAGGTCAGGTCCCTCTCTGGCCTGACCTTGCCCCTTGCATCTCTATGATACAAAGACCACTTGACTATACAACGGGGAAGAACATTAGCATAATTTCATTTTGAAGGAAAAACTATCATATTAATAACTACAATAATGGGACAGTAGAAAATGAGTTATTATTTCAATTCTTTAACTAGATTATGTGAATGGATTAACAGCACGCAAGCCCCAATTTTAAATATCATTTGTTACTTTCAAGGATCTTAGGCCTATAAAGTTTCCACAATAATACTAAAGACACAACCATCTTCATTTTTCTGCAAATATCACAAAGACAAAGAAGCTTCTGAGGTAGAAGGAATTTTGCAACTTTGTTTCACAAAAATATATCAGGGATCTATTCTGGTGTAAAGATAAGATGTTGAAGGATGTTCTGCTATCACCAGTGTAGGATTAAGAGTAGTACAATACATGTACACCTGAAATTTGCCATCAGAGTGTGTGTGTCAGTTCAATGTATACATTTTGTATTTTAAAAAGGAAAAATAAACAAAAGTAGAATGTATATAACTCTATGTTTATGTTTTAGGTCTTCTTTTTCCCCTTAAAAACACAACTAATTTTTTTTTTTAATTTTTCATTGACTCATTGCAAGAGACACCTCTTTGTCTCTTCAGGTCCCAGCACAAAGTGGGGACAGCTATGTAGTGGACAGGTATGAATGGGAAGTTAAGACCTGGGTTTAAGTCTTGTTTATGTTATTTACTAATTGGTAAGTCACAACCTCTGTGAGCCTGTTTCCCCGCCTATAAAATGAGGATTAAATGAAAAAAAAAATTACTTCATCAGGTGTGGCATTTTGTAAGCTATTGTAATCTTCATCGACATTTTTGAGCCCCTGTAACATATAGGGAGTACTATAGAGATTTTAACCATGTTTTCTACGATACTAGCTAATGTACTCAGTTTTGTGAGAGTAAATTTTCAAAGTCTACCTTCAATTCTGTTATCAAGTGGCTTTCAAACTCTTTACAGTTATTAAACCCTTAACTGTAAATAAAATTCTAGGAGTACCCTTACAGTAAGTCAAGAATTATTTTAAATATTTACTTATTGTTAATGGTACCAAATAACATAAGGATAATTTTTGAAAATATTCTCTATTAAATGTAAGAAAAATTAAATATTGGCTTAAGATAGCCAGCAATTACAAAAGTAAACCCTTCAATCATCCCGTCAAAACCCTACTTTTGTATTCCAGACTTACTGAATAGAATAGGAAAAGGGATCTAAACATAATAATTTTCTCCCAACCCACTCTTCCATGGGATTTGTTGGACAGGATGGAGGCTATATAGATAAATGTGACAATCTCTCCTAGGAGAAATGGAAAATATGGGAGAGAGAAAATTTTGTTTTCTTTTGTTTTATATATGCAGTCTCTTATAGCATGGCAACAGCTAAAACTATAGTGGAGGACTTTTCTCCAGCCTTCCTCCCTGAACTCTCTTAGGGAGGAACATAAATATAGCGACTATATATTCCAGAAGGAAAATCAGGACATGTAGTTTATGAATTATTTTCTCCACCTTTGGGAAATAAGCATTATAAACATCCTAGAAAATACATGCATTGTGCATATGTATATAATATAGACTGATACAAAAGGCAACTAGATGGCACATTACATGGGCTCAAAATGTTGATAAAGATTATATAGCTTACAAAATTAAGTACTTGAGTTATGTGTGTGCATATATTTTTTGTTTTCATTTAATCCTCATAACTGTGAGATGGATAGTACAGTTAGGTTGTACAACAGATAAGATGCTAAACTTGGAACCACAAGATCTGAGTTCAAATCCTGTCTCAGACATTTAGTATGTGTGTGACAAATGGGAAAATCATTTCTTTTTGCCTCTCTTTATCTGTAAAATGGGGATAATAATAGCACCTACCTGCCAGGTAGGTGAGGATAAAATGAGATAATATTTTACAGCACTTTGTCAACTTTAATGTACTATATAAATGCTAGTTATTAGCATTATTAATTAACATTTAATTAATATTAATTCATAATTAACAGCATGGTTATTCCCACTTTGTAGATGGAGAAACAGGCTCACAGAGGTTGTGACTCACTTAAGTTAAGAAATAAGTAACTGAACTGCCTCTAATTTGTGTAGGGACATGAAGAGTATTGAACTTGGAGCCAGGAAGACCTCAGTTCAAAGCCTAGCTCAGGTACGAGCTGTGGGACCCTAGTCACTTAATCTCTATCATCTAAATGAGAGAGGAGGCAGCTCCCTGGTACAGTGAATAATACTTACTAGGTGTGTGACTTTGAGCAAGTCTCTTACTGTTTCCCTTGGTTTCCTCAATGGTAAAACAGGGATAGTAACAGCACCCACCTTATAGAGTTGTGAAATTCAAAAGTGATAATATTTGTAAAGCATTTAGCACAGTGCCTGGCACAGTAGTAGGCACAATATAAATGCTTAGTCACGCCCTCCACCCTCAGATTGTTTCCTTCTCTATAAAATGGAGGTAGTGATAGCACCTTTGCCTACAGCGAATTTTCCAATTTCAGACCCCAAGATTCTAGACTGCAAATAGCCCCTAGGGGAGGAGATACCTTTGGCTCGGCTCCTCACTTGCCTCAGAGGATTGTTTTGAAGAAAAAAAGCTTTGTAAATCTTAAAGCCTTATAAAAATGCAAGTAGTTATTACCATAAATTCTCTAAGGTCCTCCAAGGCTAGATCCTGTTCCTGGATTGGCAAATATCTCTAGCCTGAAGTCTGAGAGGGTGAAAGATATTACTTATCCTAATGTTCTTTAAATTTGTATCTATGTAAAAGCAATATATATGTAGCTTATGAAAAAACAATTGTTTTTACATAATCTAACTTTCAATATACACCTTCCCTTCCCTACCACACTCCAGAAGTTTTCCTTTATTACCAAAAAAAATGAATAAAGTTTAACAAAACTTCCCAATGTACTGAATAAAGTCTAACAATATAGAAAGTGTTCCAAATCTATAATATCCTACCTGTGCCTTCTCAAACTGTTTCTTTAGGACCAGGCTTGGTCATTACAATTTCCTAGCATTCAGACTCAGTTGTTTTAGTGGTGTTTTTCCATTGCAGCATATTATTTTCCTGGTTCTGCTTACTTCACTTTACTTAAGGTCATATAATTTCCCCCATATTTCTCTGTATTCACTATATTTGTTATTTCTTATAGCACTGTAAAATTCCAGGTAATGTAACTTTTTTAGTCCTTCCCTGGTAGATGGGTAATGGTATATGGTTATAAATTTGTTAGTTGCTTGCATAAAGGGGTGTGTTAGAGTCAGGTTGAAGCAGCTCAAGAGCCAACTGTTAAATTTTCACTGTGAGCATTTGTACTTTCATAAATCAGCAAACCCACAAATAAATGATGCTTTTATTGTTTGCTGTCTAGAGTTTAAAAAGTGATGGAGAAAATGTGAGTAATGCAACTCAGACTTAAAAGTGTATTATGAATACATTTTTCCTCTCAGAGATCTGATTGTTAAGCATTTACCAATATATCATTTTGTATATTACCCCCCTATCAAAAATATTTGATAAAAAAATCTTTTCTTAGTTGGTTGTTTCACTTGTTATCCTAGTTGTGTTAATTTTAGTTGAGCTAAAGCATTTTAATTACATATAATTGAAATTTTCTATTTTACCTCTTGTGACCATCTCTATCTTTTTTTTTTTTGGTTAGTAATTCCTCCCTCCCCCCAGCCATAAGCTGTGAAATGTACCTGATCCATTTATTTTTTCAAATTTTAAAATATCATTAATATTCAGGTCACATACTCATATGATATATGGTGTTGTTCTAATGCCAGATTGCTTTACATTCTTCCCAGAAATTTGTGTCAATAAGAATCTCATCTTCAGGTAATTTGTTTTGGGTTTGTCAAAAAGTTTAGTTACTTCTGATTCTTCCTTGCCTAGTTCTACTATTCTGTTTTTCTATTTTTCAACTAACACCAACTAATTTTGTTGTTTACTGCTTTATAATACAATTTGAGGGCTGAAGTGCTTACTTTTCTCCCTTATTTTTTTTTATTACTTCTTTTGATATACCAGAACTTTTGTTGATTGAAACAAATTTTGTCATATTTTCTCTAGCTCTGCATAGTATAATCTTGGTATTTTAGCACTATTATTGGTATTATACAACTAAATCTATAAATTATTTTTTATAATGTTGCAATTTTTATTATATTGGTATGGCCTAGACAGAACACTGAATAGCCATACAATTATTTAGGCTTTTATTTACTTCTTTAAAGAGATTATGTGTGTGTGTGTGTGTGTGTGTGTGTGTGTGTGTGTGTGTGTATAAATATATAGACAATGTAGATAGGTAAAGGGATAGTGCTTTGATAGACTGCTACCCATAAATTTTATTTTGTAGTTATTTTGAGATTTCCCTATTATTCCCTCCTAGATTTCATTGAGATACACTAATGCTGTTTTAAAGGTTTATTATAAGATCTATAATTTTAATGAAGCTCTAAATTTTATCAGTTACTCTCTATGTTGATTTTCTAAGTAAAGCATCATCAACAAATAGGGATGGTGTTGTTTACTCTCTATTTTTATGCCTTAAATTTCTCTTCTTCATTGTGATTGCAAGTACTTCTAGAACTGGAAACATTAAGAAAGTGTCCTTGCTTTACCTCTCTGTTTATTGGTAAAGCTTCTACTATTTTATCACCAAATATAGGGTGTCCCAAAACTCTTAGTGTAGTTTTAAGCTTTAATAACTTTATAATAATAAATGTTACAAACTTAAAAAAAAAACATGCAAGGCTAATTATTTAAAATTTTAAAGTACTGATTCTTATTAAAGTTTAACATAATCACTGTTTTGTGATATACATTGATCTAATTTTTAAATATTGTAAAAACATGCATCAGTTGCTGCTTAATGATTATAAGTCAGTCAATAAGCATTTATTTATTAAGTGCCCACCATGTGCCAAGCACTGTGCTAAGCCCTGGGGATTCAAAAAAAGTCAAAAGATAGTCTCAACCTTCAAGGAGCTCACAATCTAATCTAGCATTTGTAATCCTAGTCTTAAGATCATCCAAACTACAAGTTTTGCTGCATACATAACAGTTTTGATGTGGTCCTACAAGAAAAATTTCTAACGAAGACAGGTATGTGACTGAGGTAGGCCAAGCATGATCTTCACCAATCCACTGATCTGAGAAAGCACAATCCAGAAACTTTTGCAAAGCATAATAATGATAAGATGTCCCTGTCAAAATTCAGATTAAAATTTACTATTCACAATTCATGACTAAAAAAATTCACAAAACTAAATAAATTTAAACTTTAAAATTATATATTTTTATAAGTTTGTGGCATTTATTCTAATGAATTTATTAAAGCTTAAAACTCTACTAAGAGTTCTGAGACACCCTGTATAAGGATAAATTATGGCTTTAGATACATGCTTTTTATAATTTAAAAATCTGTTTTTTAAAGCTTTTAGCATCAATGATTGTTGTACTTTATCAAAGGCTTTTTCTGCATCTAATAATGAAATCGTCTGCTCTTGTTTTTAGTATTATGTTGTTTTTCCTTATATTCCCAGTGTAAATCCAACTTACTATAGTAAATGATTTTTTGACACAAATTACTGTAATCTTTCTACCAGGATTTTATTTAAAGATTTTTAATCATCATTCATTAATGAGACATCTTGGCATAAAGATAAGATCTGGATTCAAGATCTCCTCTGACACATACTGGTTCTGTGATGTTGGGCAAGTCATGTAATCTTTCAGCTGTCTAGGCAACTCTCCAAAATGATAAGTTACAGACAAAGTGCTAACCTGTATTGGTAGAGGGAGATTTCTCACCCAAGTATTCTCCATAGCAATGAAATCACTGGTTTAATACTTATCTGTTAGGTCCACAGCTCCAGTAACTATTCATTAATGATCAAGTGAATAACCAAGCATTTAAGTATTTACTGTGTGCCAGGAACTGTGCTGGTGTGGTGAATGCAAATAAAATGAATTTTAAAAGTCCCTACTTTCAAGAAGCTACATTCTAGTAGAAGCAGACAAGTACTACAATAAGAATACACAGAATAAATACAAATACACAAAAAGTAGTTAAATACAAGGTAGTTTGAGAGAGAGGACATTAGTAGTTCAGGGAATCAGGAAAGGTCTCAAGTAAAAGATACTTGGACTACCTCTTAAATCCCTCTGAAGAGAGGGATTCTATACGGCTGAGATGAAAAGGGAGAGAATTCCACATATAAATAACAGCCAACGCAAAAACAGAGACAGGAAATAGTGTCCTTTTTGGGGAGACTAGATTGTAGAGTGAAGGACGGAGCACAAATTACAAGGTTGGAAAGATAGGATGGAGCAAGGAAAGATAGTTTGGTGCTTTAAAATCTAGACTCTTAGATATTATTCTAGAGGATAAGGCTTTTCGTAGGAGTTTCACTAAGAAAGGGAAAAGAGACACAAGAACAACTAAAGGTTTATTGTTAATAAAGTTAGAGAGCTGGGGACGTTTAGAGGCAGGAGGGAAGGAACCAGTAAGAGAGAGATGTTGGTTCCCCATACTGATTACTGTTTTTATTGTATTATGTGAAATGCAAGCATATAGTTAGCATTTCTGCCTTTTATATTATTTTTCTCTGCTTTGGTATAGGGTTAATTTTCAGAAAGGTGTCATGTGATGCTAAGAATCTATATTCTTCAATGTTCCCATTCAGAAAACACCATAAATCTTTTAGCCCTAACTCTGACAGTTTGTCTGGCTCTATATTCTTCTTGTTTTGTTTGTAAGGTATGTCTAGTTCTGAGAAAGGAATATTATTATTACCCTGCCTTTTTGCAATTCCGTTCACTTTTCCTTCATGTATTTATGTAGCCATTTGGAGCATGTATTTAATATTGCAATAGCTTATTTGTGGTTCCTTTAGGGATAATTTCCTTGTTTATCTAGACTGATATTTTTATTTTTGCTAATACAATTGCAGCTTCTGCTTTTTGGGGGTTTACTTGATGCACAGTAATTACTCTTTCATTTGATTTTGTTTTCGTCTAAAAAACAAATTATGAGGTTTTGTTTTCTTTTCCATTTTATCACTCTTCAATGTTTTTGAATTGTTTAGTCCATTCACAATTAAAGCTATAACTTAAGTTTGTTTTCCTCAATTTCCTTGGTACTTTCTTTTTTTAAAGAATTTTGCACACTGAGGGAGCAAGGTGGTTAGTGGGTAGAGTGCTGGACTTGGAGTCAGGAAGCTGTGTTAAAATTCTTCCGTAGACAAGATACAAGTTATTTAACCTTTCAGCTGGTTTCCTTTCTATAAAACAGATAATGGCATCTACCTCACAGGGCTGTTCTCAGAATCACACAATAAAGAGCTTTGCAAACCTTAAATTATCCTATTCCTTCTTTAAACTCATCGTGCGTTGCCCCAGTGATTAGTTTTCTTTAGACTCCTTGATATAATTCTATTCCCTGGGCTCTTTTCCCTAATTTCAATACCATTTGCCTACTGTTTCACCATTTGGGACTTTTATTTTTTTATGGACTTAGCTCTTCCCCTCTTTACTCCTTTCTTTCAGCTGTTGTGGTTAGCTCAAAAACTTCAACTTCTGTTTTCTTTTTAGTGTACTTTTCTTGAGTTTTCTTTGTTCTTTTCCCTTCTTGGCTATTTTGAACCTGTATTTTCTGAGAAGTAATGCTGGGCTGAACCAGTGCCATATGGTAAAAATTACGATGTCCCAAATTGTGTGGTCCCCTTCTATTCCCTACCTTCCCCCAGTGCTACGCTACCACATCTCTGGCTTGATGTTGCCATGTGTGGGATCCAGCTGCCCCAAAGAGTATAGATTAAGCTTTTTCTGCATCAGAATACTGTGCATAAAACAACACTCCTAGAGAAGACAGCCTCCCAATGCATCAATTCCTTTTAGATTTAACCCATCATGTGGTTTCCATCACACGTATGCACACACATGCAACACACACACACACAGCCTCTCACCTCTTCCACCAGGGGAGTACCCTTCAATAGGATCCCTTCCCTTCCTCAACCCAATTCAATCACCCAGATACAATCTCCCCTTTCTGCTGATAAAGCCATTCTAGCCAAGATGGCTACCCATCTGACTACAAGAATCTCCTTCCCTTGGTTGTTCATACTTTGGAAGGAGTTTTGCCCTTTTTCCCCTACCTTCTCTATCCCTGTATGTACCATCTAACAATTCTGTCCCACATAAGTTTCATGTACTGATGGGGGACAGAGGGGTGTTCAAGGTATTTGTCCTGGGCGTACCAATACTGGTTCTTTCTTTGGTTCTACATCTTAATCCCCACCCCCCCTTTTAAATTCTCTGGTTTCTTCTTAACTGCATATGAGAGAATTAAAAAACAAAACGAAACACTGCTTAACAAAAAGCAATTAAATTTTTGTTATTGATTTTTCTTTGGTAATTGTATTTATTTACTTTTATTTCATGTCACATATTTTGCTCAGTATTTTTCTGTGCAGAAATGCCCTTTGAGTATCAATTTTTGTTGTTGTTAATGATTAAGCTTAATTTTGTAGGGTATGCCATTGTTATTTTGGGGTAGTGGCTTTAATTTTTTCCCCCAAATTTGCTACTTTATTCTCTCCTGCAACTTCTAATCTTAAGAGGAAAAATCTTGTTACATTAAATTCTCCTTTAAAGGAATGTTTGAAGGTCTATCCCTTGGCTGCTTAGACAATTGTTTTTCTTTGCCACTGAAAATGTTACATTTAACCACTGTTTTTTGGAGTTTGAAGAATAAGGGTGGTGCTGGTGGTGGTAGCCATTTAGAAGGCAAACTTCTTTTAACTGGCATCTTTTGATTAATGTAGTCTTCTATATTTAAAAGTATCAGGCAGCTTTCCACCTCCTGCTTTGTGGTGTTCAGGTTTTCTGATTTACCATGTTTTTCTGGCAGACCTAGTGTCTGTAAGTCATCTATGTGTATTCTATTAGTAAGGTCAGTTGTTTGGCTGTTATAAAGTTCATGTGTACTTTTAACATTGTTTTCTTTGGCTTCTCCATTGTCAGATTTCCGCCATTTCAGTGTTTTTATATTTAAATATATATTAATCTCTCCGTTCTTCAGAAGTATTTTATAGTGTTATCCTCTATTTCTGTCTCATTCCATCATTTCCACCTTTGTAACATCTCTCATTTTTCCCCTTCTCTCTAAAAAGCCTTAACTCTGGTGCACATCTGGACTACTGCAATAGCCTTCCAGTTAGCCTCTATCTCCCTCAAGTCTCTCCTCACTCCAACCTATCCTCCACTCAACTGGCAAAATGTTCTTCCTAAAGCACAAGCCAGATCATGTCACTGTTACTCAAAAAACTTCACTATTAACTTCCAGGATCAAATATAAAATGCTTTTTGGCATTTAAAACCTTTAAAACTACGTCCCTCTATATGTTTTCCATTCTTCTTATACTTTACTGTCCTCCACATACTGTATGATCCAGCAACATCAGCATTCTTGCTGTTCCTCACACACAACTCCATGTCTTTTCAATGTCACCATACCTACAATGCTCTTCTTCCTCATCTCTGCCTACTGGCTTCCCTGGTTTCCTTCAAGATTCTGCTCAAGCCCTACTTTCTGCAGGAACTTTACTAATACAGACACTCCTTCCTCACTCCAACAACTGACTTCCTGAGATTACCTCCCATCTACTCTGTATATAACTTCTAGGTGCATATATCACCCACTACAATATGGAACCTTATGCCAGATACCAGGCTAAGCACTTTACAAATATTATCTCATTTGACCCTCACAACCACCATGAAAGGTAGGTGTGATTATCATCCCCTTCAAATAGAGGCTAAGTAAATTGCTCAAGGTCACATAGCTAGTAAGTAACTGAGACTGGATTTGTACTTGGGTCTTCTTAACTACAGGCCTAGCATTCTACCCATAGTGCCACTTAGCTGCCTCCAAAATCTGGAGTTCTATAAAACAGGGATTGTTACGTTTGCCTTTATTTCCCTGCAATTAGCATTCTACCTGGCACAGTGAGTGCTTAATACTCCAGATGACTGCACCCCTCTATCTTTCACACTCCCTCTGCTTTCTTTCCTATTGCCTACAGACATGCCCATTCCTTCATCCTCAAACACTTGATCTGTCCCTGCTAGTTATCATCCTTTATCTCTCATTCCTTTTAAAGCTAACTTCATTAGGGAGGTTTCCAGTAGGTATGTCTACTTCCTCTCACTGTTCACTCTCTACAGTCTGTCTTCCAACTTCATTATTCAACCAAAACTGCTCTCTGAAGTTACTACTAATCCCTTAAATGCCAAATCCAATGGCCTTTTCCTCAGTCCTCATCCTTCTTGATTCTCCTTCTACTTATGTGACCACTCATCTGCTTTGCCAGATCTTCACCCAGGTCAAACCTACTAATTATGGGTGTCCCACAGGGCTCTGTCCTGGGTCCTCCTCTCTTCTCCCTCTATGTCACCTGGTGAACTCTTCATTATCTTTTCCCAAACAATTTCTTATTATCTTCAAAGGCACTATCATCACTACTATCCTATGATTCACCCTGGCTTGCAAATTAGGTGTTATCTTCACTCTTTCACTCCCCCCTGCCCCCATCCCAATATCCAACCTGCTGCCAAGGCCTATTGATTTTACCTTTGTAACAGCTCTCATGTATCTGCCTCCTTCTATCCTCTGATACTGCTACCACTCTGCTCCAGGCTCCCATCACCTCAGCTGGACTACTGGAATAAACCTGCTGGTTGGTCTCTGTCACAAGGTGTCTCCCCACTCCAGCCCACCCTTCACTCAGCAAACTTCACGAGCAAATGCTGCTCTCCACGCCTAGAATGCTCTCTCCTCATCCTGCCTTCCTTCAAAGTCCCAACTACAATTCCACCTTCTATAGGATGCCTTTTGCTATCCCCTTAATTCTAGTGCCTTTTGTTAATTATTTCAAATTTATCCTGTATATAGTTTGTACCTACCCAGCTGTTTACATGTTTTCTCCCCATTAGACTATGACCTGAGGAACAAGACTGTCTCTTACCCTTCTTTATATCCCCAGTGCAGACGCTTAATTGGTTGATTGTCTGGCAGCAACTTTGACCAAAAAGTTAACTGGAATATTTTCTTTCTGGAATAAGGTTGAGCTGACTTAATCTTTTCTCACCACCCCTGGCCTAATGTGAAGAGCTCTTCTAGGTAATATAGGAAATCGTAAGGTAAAAAAGAATGAGAACTACAACATATTTATTACATATTTTTAAGGGGAAAAGGGTCAATAAGTTAACACTAAAAATTTTGTGAATACCATTTGGAATTTCAAGAGTTGAATTCTTAAATATCCCAATTTGCAAGTCACATTTTTTTAAGAAAATATAAAAAAAATAACATTTACTTATATATTAAACATCTAAACTCATGTATGGTTTTAGCAAGTTATAGTAAAATAATAATTTATGTTATAACACGACAGAATTTTACACTATTCAAACATTCATATTTTGAAATGTTCTGGATGTTTTCACCAGGCATTGCACATCATAAAAATACCTGTTTATAAGCAATAATTTATCAGTGAGTTACTAAACAGTTTAACCATTCTTACTAATTTCTATGATAGGTCTAAAAACCCTACAAAGTATGACAAAGTAATTATGAAAAATTAATGCAATCACTTAAGTGATACTACAACTGAAAGGCACTAAAATATAAACATCAGATCTTAAACTGTAAACAAAACCGTGGTCCTTAATACAGACCAAATGCAATAAGAAAAAAAATTGGTAAACCCCACAAAATTATCCCACAAAATTGCACTATAGAAGTCCTTTCAATAGTTTTCCATAATTAACTATTTTCCCATGCTGATAAATGCTTATTTACTATGATTCAGTGGAATCAACTTTGTGTATTAATTTTTATCACGTAAATAACAAATCAGTAGCTGTGATAAAAAAGGATCCTACGATGTTCACCACAAGCTTCTGACATCTCTCACCACTTAGCCAAATGGTTTTATCATTCCTTTGGTTTAAGAGCAGATGGAACAATAGGTTGGAATTTTAGCTTTAATAATCATAAGGCTGCCCTGTTGGTAGAAAAGATTTAGCATCATTAGTATGTTGTAGTACTCAGTGGGGCAGATTGATTCTACATATAATACTTTTAAACAGAATTTACCAAAAGTTTATTTAAAAATGGAAATGAAAAATAAGATAGTTTTTTAAAAAGAACAGAATATCATGTGTAGTATTAGCAATCAACTCTGACCAGCGAAGAGTCAAACAAAATCACTGAACAACAAAACTTATCAAAGCAGGTTGTTCTTTCAATGCTTATTCTTGAAAACTTTGAATTAGGGTAAGTGAGAGAAGACCTAACACTCAGTATGAATTGGGATAGCCTTCCCAAATGAAATTTGGGGCTACCTAAGGTGGTAATTGTTCAGTCATTCAGTTGTGCCTGACTCTGTGGACTGGAGCAGCTTGCCATTTTCTTCCCCAGTTACCTAAGGTTAGGATAGTACAAAGACCAGATAGATAGTCTAAAGAAAAGTCATAAAAAAATATAAAAATAAATAAGTAAATAAATGAATGAATAAATATATATAAATACACACACACACACACACACACACGGAACCAGCAGAGAGAAATGAAATGAAATAATTAATGCCTATCTTTAAGTATGATGTGAGTCAGAAGTCTCTAGGTATCTAAACCATAACATATGGCAGAAATATAATACATATTTAACTCATTTGAAAAAAAAACTAATAAGAGAAAAATGGATTTAAATCAATGGATTTAATCTTTATTTTTTAAGGCACAGAAAAGGGTAATTTTATTCTTAACTGACTTCGAAAGGCAACTCAAAATGACCAGTTCTCTGAGTACTGTTTCAAAGACAGCACCAAACACTTTTTTTTTTTGCTTTTTTGGCGAGGCAATCAGAGTTAAGTGACTTGCCCAGGGTTACACAGCTAGAAAGTATGATGTGTCTGAGAATAGATTTGAACTCACGTCCTCCTGACTCCAAAGCCAGAAGTCTATCCATCTGTACCATCTAGCTGCCCCTACCTAACACTTCCGATACAGAGTTTCAAATCTCCTCAATGGAATACTGTGAAGAGTATTTCTGAAAATTCTTCTATCTCATTTGGGGGAAAAAAAAAGAAAGAACAGGTACATTTATAAGTCCTAGAAATAGCGATAGAGAACAGAGAAATTCATTTCTTCATTCTATGCTATTATGTGCACAAATTATGCTCTATGGGGTAGAAAACACAATTCAAAGCCTCCCCTCAAGGAATTTGTACTTGAGAAGTACTGAAAAGGACAAGAAAGCATGGTGGATAGAGTTGGCCTCTAACTCACAAAGACCCAGGTTCAAGGCTCACCTTTATAACACCTACTGACTGTACGACCTAGCAGAGTCACTTAACCTTGCAGTGGTGTAGACAACTTCCAAACGCTAGAAGTAGTAGAAAAGATGCCTATCTGGATTAGTAGAGGTCATGAAATAACACAATACTCATTACCCCAAGAAAGCCACAAGAGAATCAGGCCAGATTTTCCCTCTAGAAGTGCCACAAAGCCCAGCCCTAACATCAGGTCTGAAGTCAGGAAACATGCTAAAAGAATGGATAAACAAAAAACATCATCATGATCTACTGAGACAGCACGGATGCCAAAACATCTACAAGCAATGCCTCCGTGAAGCAATAAAAAATATTTAAACAAAGTCAAAAGGCTGGAAAAAAGTCACAAAAGAAGTATTAACAACTGCCCTGTAAAACTTATTAAGGAAAAAAAATTAAGAATCACTAGACTATCAATGCCATGACCGAAAAAAGAAAAAGTCTATACAGCATATTTCAAGAAATCTTTGCTTTCTTAGAACCAGAGAGCCAAGTGGAAATAGAAAGAATCCACCAGTGACCTCCTGAAAGAAACCCCTAAATGAAAACTCCTAGGAACTTCACAATCAAAATCCAGAGTTCCTAGGTCAGAGAAAAATGCTGCAAGCAGCAAGAATTCAAGTACTAAGGTGCCATAGTCAGGATGACCCACAATTTAGTAGCCACCACCACGAAGTGAAGAACTTGAAACATAATATTCTAGAAGGTAAAGGATATGAGCTTTACTGTCAAGAATAACTTACCAAACAAAATGAGTATATGGCTAGAGAGGAAAAAGGAGGACCTCTAATGAAACAGAGACCATTCTTGATGATAAAAAGACCAAAACTGTGAAGAAGCTTTGAAGTTCAAACACAAAAGTGAAGCAAAACATAAAGGCAAACATAAATGAACAATGACAAAAGACTAAACAAAGATTAAAAACTGCTTATATTTAAAAATGGGGAGATACCTGTGTCCCCTTCTGACTCCCCTATCATCATCAGAATTCAGAGAGAATTCCAATTAGACAAGGCCTAGGAGTGGGTATATATCTTGATAATATTAAAAACACAGAGTTAGGTATAGAAATAACATTTCACTCAATAGGGAAATCAGAGGGAAATTAAGACAGCAGATTACAGGAGGGATTAGTCCTAAGCAAAGCAAAATGTAAGTATATCCAAAAATATTTACACAGCTCTTTTTGAGGTGGCAAATCATGGGAATTTGAGGGGCTACTCATAAATTGGGAAATGAATGAACAAGGTGTGGTATAGAAATGGATAGAATACTATTGTGCTGAACTCTTATCAGCACAATGAAAAACCAGGATTCCAGAGGACAAATGATAATACATGCTACCCACCTTCTGACAGAGAAATGAATTCAGAATAAGAAAAAAAATTTTGGATGTGAATAACGTGGAAGTTTGCTTTGACTGACAACACATATTTTTAATGGGTTTCATTTTTCTTTTGTTCTCAATGGAAGGTGAGGGGATGAGGTAGGAGGTTGAGAAGGTAGGTCTTGAATGATTAAAATACAAAAAAAATTTAAAGTGAGGAAAAATATTTAACCTTACAGTTGCTTCTAAATAAATGAAAGGAAGAATAACTTTTTACTCACACTTCCACCATGTTGTTCTAGCTTTTGTAAAGCGGTGGTGATTGACTCTTTGAATTTCTTATCCATTAGTCTCTTGGAAAGCTTGAAAAAGAATGACAACATATTCATCCAACATATTATGCACAAGACACTGGGTGACACAAAGACAAAAATGAGACTAAAAACTCAACCATAACCATATGAAAACTTTCCAAATTTCACTAACATACAACCCTTAAAAATAGGCTAATTGGGGAAAAAACACCAGTGACATTATTAGAGCATCTGGGCATTCAATTTCTTTTAGAGTAATTTTAAGTCTTCTCTTGAGAATTAACTTTAATAGAAATCTAAAATACACTAATGTATAATATTAAAAGGTACAGATTAGAATCTAAAATTAGACAACCTGTCACAGCTGGCCTCAAGTACAGAAAACTTGGGATTCTCTTCCCCCTGACTTATGGTGGATATGTGACCCTCACACAAATTCATTTAACTTCTCAATGCCCCTGGCAATTGTGGTAGAGGCGAGTAACTCAAATGGCATTTCCTCAGTGCAAGTTAAGCAATCAAATTACTATGGAAATCACAAGTCCAGCCCAAAAATTAAGAGGAAAAGCTAAAAATATTAGAGAACAGCACAATCAAATATTTTTGATACTTACACTTGTAAGCAAATGCTTCAGATGATCATTTAGAGAAGGCCCAACTACACCACTCAATTGTACTAAAGCATTTAATCCCCTTCCAAACACTTCACCATCTGAATGGGTCTTTTGGGGGAGAAGGGAAGAGAGAAAAGGTCATGATTAAATAAAATTCAACATCTATGACTACAGGATAATTACCAACTAAACATACAAGCTTTAAAGCTATAATTCTTACCCCAAGATCCAGAAACAAGTGCAAATTCTCAACTGTATTAAAAGCACTGGATATACTTTCCAATGGAAATATTTAGTGTATTATTTAAATGTAAATATAAGATTAATTTAAAAATATTGTTTACTCTTGGTACCTCCTCTAAAGATATCTGCCCTTCAAAACCAGATTGTAATTCTGAGAGCATCAAAGTAGATACCCAAGTTCAAAGACAGATCAGTCTTTCTTGCACAGATTAATTACATAAAACATAATTTGATGAAAACCAATTATGCTAAAATATTAAAAAATAATCCCTGCTGGGATTTTTGATTTTACACGAAGTCTTTGAAATTTAAAGGAAAAAAAAAACATACCAGAGCTGCCTTCAAGACAGGAACCAATCTAGGTAGCAAGGGCACAGTTTTTTCAGTAGCACCTTCAACTAAAAGTAATTCTTTAAAACCTTCTTTTGATACAAATGTATATGGATGTTTAGTCTCTCTTAGACCCTGTTAAACACATAAAAATGTGATTTTATATAGGTTTGGTCATATTAAGAAAAAAATCAAGAAGCATCATAATAACAAAAAGAATATGTTCATTATTACACCTTCCCAGTCAGGAAGTACAATTTCAGTAATAATCAGTACTACAATTAAAACTGGGACCAAAAGGAAAAATAGGAAGCAATTACCATTCTGACCTTCTAAATAAAACAAGGTGCCATCTTTGATACTTTTATTTTTCCTACTAAATATTAGTTGTATTCATGCATGCCTAAGGCTGTGCAACATTCCCTTAGCAAGAGAGGCTGTAAGGACACCTCCATAAAAGAAATCACCCCAACCTATTCTAAGATTAGCTGGATTTAAATTCAATTCAAAGATGACTTCTTTTCACATTTCTGAGTTTTAAAAAAGGCAACAACATGTAATGGAAAGAGTACTTTTTGTCAGAGGACTTGACTTTTGAGTTCCACCTGTTGTACACAATAGCTAGTTAGTGTGATCATGGACTGAACCTTTGACAGTTCCCTTATCTTTTAAACAGGGATAACTAATACTTACCAACTCACAGGATTATTGTGAGGAAACTGTTTTGTATATACAAAGCACTGTAAAATACTACGAATCCCTGTAAAGTACTATACTACAACCATTTTTATTAGACTTTTAACACCAAATTGATCCAGCACACTCTGCTCTATTCTATGAAAAAAGAGATCCCATAAAGTCATTGGTGAGAGAAGAGACAGAAAAAAAAATGAAGACTGCTATACACATTCATAGGAAGTGCAAATCCCTCAGAAACTTAAAAGGAGAAACTAGTATCCTGGCTCATGAGTACAATGATGAAATACTTGTTAAGAATATGTAAGATGAGAAGACATTTTCCCAGGGTCTATTTTCCTTCACAAGATGGCACAGTGGATAGAGCTCATCTGGGAGTCCAAGGCCCAGGCTGTGTGACCTTGGGCAAGCTCCTTAACCTTTCAGTGCTGCAAACAACTCTATAAGACTATAAATTTCAGAGAAACTACTCATTTGCACTGGTAGAGGATTTTCATTTGGTAGAGCATCTCTCTCAACCGGAACTTCCTGTACTGATGAAATCAATCACAGGTCTAGCTTAATAAATAATAAAGAAATCCCCCCTCAAACCTTTCCACTTATTTCCATTACTACAATAACAGGAAGGGCAAGATTTTTTTTAATAGGAAAAGAAAAGGTTCTGTTTTAATTTTTTTATTTATAAGACTATTAACTCTGTGACCTTCTTTATGATTATACTATTACCTATTTATATTAATGTGCTGAAAGCAGCAAGCCTAATAATTGGCTCAAGGGATATTAAAATGCAAAAAATAACTCACATTTATTTTCTAGAGTTCACAAAGTGCTTTATTACTCATAAATAATCCTCAAAAGTATATAGGTGGCCTCTTACTATTCTCATTTTAAAAAATAGGAAACTGGGGTTCATGGAAGTTGAGTGACTTCTTCAAAGTGACACACAATTTAGTGTGACAGAGCTGGGACTCAAACTCAGGTCTTCTGATTATAAGTCAATCAATTAGGAAAGACTTATTCAGTCCCTTCTACATAACAGGCACTGAACTAAACTTGGGACATAAAAAAAAAGGCAAAAATACTGACCCTGATCTTAAGAAGCGCACATCCAAATGGAGGAGACAACATACAAATAATCAGATACTTCTTATAAGATACATACAACAGAGTAGATGAGAAGTAAGTAATCTCTAAGAGGAAGGCACTAATCAGGTAAGCCAGGAAAGGCCTCTTGCGGAGACGAAGCAAAGAATTCCAGGCATGGGGACAGCCAAGTGGAAAGTTGAAAAACTGAGAGACGGACTGTCTTGTTGAATAAAGAGCAGGTCAGGGTAAATTCTGCAGTGCCATTTGCCTTTCGTAATACCAAACCCATGTGAACAGCAAATGCCTAATAGGTTAGAGTTCCCTGCAAGGCAAATCTATTTCTAAATTATAAGAAGAATTCTTCCCCACAGATGGCATTATCAGAAGACACTACTGCTTCCCCTTGGGGCTTCTTACACTACCAGCTTTTTTGTAATACAAATTTTAACTAAAATGCAATTACAGTGTCCCTTCCAAAAAAAAAAAAGTTACAAAAACAATGTATTTGAGTATTATGAAAAATATCTATAAATGTGTTGTTATAAAAGAATACTTATGTTATTAAAAAGATGTCAGTTTCTTATAACACATTATAACAAAAATATTAAATGTATTTTTTAAACAGATCAAATATTTGTCTCCTTTCATTTAAAGTTCTCATAGTATAAGCATTTTTCTTCTGTACAAAGATCAAGTATTTGGATTTTTTAAAAATCTAGTTAAAAATTTTTTTAGTCTAAAAAATTTTTTTTCATGTGTAATAAATTCCTGTCTTTGCAGAAAATTAGCTTCTTCTAGTTTATGAAATAGTTTATAATTAATCCTTCAGCAATGAATCAAAGGTAGTATTCCCACATCAACGTTTCTTATCTAAATACCAAAAACATTAAATAAGCTCCAGGAAATTACCTATTTCATTACCTAACAATTAATATGGCTTCAAAATGTTTGATAATAATTGGGGAGAAAGAAAGTCTTTACCTCTGCTAAAGTAATAAGAAGAGGATCAAATGGAAGAGTTTCAGGAAGACAGTCCCACTGTAATTTGTGTTTTACTGAACCATGTACCAACCTGAGGCATAAAAGACAGTGAATCAGTAAGTATGAAATGGTATTCTTTGTAAATATTCTTAACACAATAAACTTTTATCAGAGTGTCTACCAAGCTCAATTATTTTGTCATTTCCTAGTATACAGCAATGTTGTCACATGACAAAGAGCTTATTAAAAACATCTTGTGAAGTAGCTTTTAGTTATAGAAAAATTCTCCCTTGATAAGGATTCATGATCAAGTAATATTGATTTGATGAAGGAGGAACCATGCTGTAGTGCAAAGAACATTGGATTCAGAGTAAGAGACTCAGGTTTGAATACTTGAGTGACTTTAGGGAGGTAATTTAAACACATCTGTAAAAATGAAGGAGTTGAACTTGGTGACTTTTAAGGTCACTTCCAAGCTCTAAATCTGTAATCCGATGAACTCTTTAAGTACAACTAAATTTTATCCCTGTGGGGGATGTTAAGACATACCATTCTGGAACTCCAGCCAGTTATTAACAGGAAGATCCTTAATGTATGCCTTGACCTTAATTTATGGTCTTAACATTAATATTTAAATCACTGTTACAGCTACAATAACAAAGCAGCAATGTATGCTAAACATTTTATCTAAGGTTACAAAAAAAGAAAAGGTAATTTAAAGAAAAACTGAAGGTTTAAAAAAAAAGGTTTCAAATAAAACCAAAATTCATAGATATTGAGAAAGGTTTACAGTGGGCCTTAATCTGAAGAGTATTTTGCATGAAGACCCAGACCATAGGAGAAGAATATTTACTGATCATGAACAAGGACAGCAGGACCTAGATGCTGAACCTGAAGAGCACCTACATGAACTGAACTTCCACCCAGCTACAAGGGCAACAGCTATGCTAACATAGTATAGCAGTGGCAACAAAAAGATAGCCAACTACTACAAAAGGTGATTTGTTACCCCCAAAAAAACCTTCTGACTGAGTAACTTTCTTTTTTTTTTAAGGCAACTGAGGTTAAGTGACTTGCCCAGGGTCACACAGCTAGTAAGTCAAGTATTTGGTCTGAGGCCGGGTTTGAACTCAGACTGAGTAACTTTTGGGGAGGAGTGATGCAGTAGTTAGTAGAGGTGTGACAACAAATAAAAATGCTAGTGCTGAGAAGCTGGAATCAGGCTGCATTAGTACTGGGAAACAATCCCTAGAGCTTAAGGAATCAACAGTACAGAATCCTGTTAGGTTTTCCTACATTATCTATGAGTGAGGATCTTCATGGCATGTGGTGAAGAGGTGGGCGACAATGGGAACAAGCACCAGGGCTAATAACAGCCAGGGACAGCATCTAACATGACCCTGCCTGAGTTTTCCCAGCTCCAGAATAAACAACTACATTTCTTTCCACTAAATCACATATGGCATGATCTTGGAGGCCTTTCTCTGTGAACTTATAATTACATTAACAACAATGGAAATGTATATGGTACTTTTTAAGTTTGCAAAGCACTCTTTCATTTGAACCTGATAACAACCCTGCGATGTGGGTACCACAGATATTTCCATTTACAAATGAAGAAACTGAGGATCAGGGAAGTTTAGGTGTCCTGTCCAGTCACACAACTATTAAATACTCACGGCAAGATTTAATCTAGCACCATATTCCCCACCCCTTCTTAAAATATGGTGCTCAGAACTGAGTAATACTTCTATTATGGTCTGACCAGGGCAGAAGACAGTTGGATTATAGTCTCTTTAGTTCTGGACACTAAACCTTTCTTAAGGCAGACCAAGACTGTATTTGGTTTTTTGTTGTCATATCATGTCAACTCTTATCAAAACTTGTAATCCACTAAAATCCACAGATCACTTCTAGATGTGTGTGTGTGTCACGTTGTTGTCTAGCCATACATCCCAAACATAAAGTTCACGTTTTAAAATTCAAGTGTAAGACTCCACATTTACTCTTGTTAAATGTCACTGAACTAGATACAGCCCAAAGTTCTAGCATATCCTGCTCCTTTTCGGATTCTGAATATGTCATCTAACAAGCATAAGATCTGCAAATTGGATAAGAATGAAATAATTATGTCTTTGTCAAAGTCACAGAAAAAAAAAGTTTAATAGTATAGGGTAAAGCATAGGTAACTAGGATACTCCAATAGAGAACTTTCCCGATGACATTAAGTCCCAAAGGCAATTGATATTCTTAACATACTTAACCTATAAAAACTATTTAATTTGATTAAAGTCATTTCAGGAATATGATCTATTACATCGCTAATTGATTTTACCTGCAAGGAATACCTCCTTTGGAGTAAATAGCAGCAAATGCAGAAGGGGCACGTGGCTGATCACTAAACTGAAATGAAATTAAATAAGAAAAAAATGCTACTTTATTGTGTACATCAAGAGTTTGCATATAAGCATTACACTACTATATCTTCATAATATATAAGGAAGGCCCAACCTCTAAGGTAGTAAGATATTATATATAGAAACAGGGAAAAGATCAGACTTAGAAGCTACAATGATGGTTTAAAATATATACATATACATATATATGTACATATAAAATCTGTATTGGTTTTATATTTGTCAAAAAAAATTTAGATTGTAGTTTTTCATCACTTCAACCTTGTTATGAATTAGTGAGAAGTCTATACTTCAGGTGAACTAGGTATGATGCAGTATAAAGATACATGCTTACAAAAACTCTTGTCACTAAGCCACACAAGTAGTAAATGAAACTTTCTGGTCACCCAGAGGGTGAAAAAAAATTCATTTTAATTTTCCAAACAAGAGAGTTTAAGAGAATTCACACAAACAACATTTTCTTTTCTACACAGTGCCAAAACCAGAATATATCTGCTTTCTGAGAACCAGCCTAAATACAGAGAGGCCCATCAGCAGGGGGCAGGTCACTTGGTACCAAATTCTTTAGCACACATAAAAAAAAAAATGAAAAAAATTGCTGGGTCCTGTATGGCTTCCTACCATGTTTGACACTTTGATGGGGTGGTGGAAAAAGAGGACCAGAATGATAATAATTACAGTTTATAGAATATCTATACATCCTGTTAGAAAACGTGAGATTCTTGGCTACGACCAAAAAGTAAACACACAAAAAATTACTATCAGGCCTGACATTGTAGAAGTTTTAAGTTAAATGGAAGGATGACTCACAGGTTCTCCTTGGAGGAGTAAAAGAATTGGAATTCTCATTATTGTACCAAAGAGGGGGGAAAAAAATCAAGATTTATTTCATAGGATACAAACATTTTGTATCACAAGCTTGTCTAAGAAAACAATGAAAATAATTGCAGCTTACATACCAACATTTCCTGCAGAGGACATAGACAAACGCTAGCTAAAGACTCTCCAAATTAGATCAACATTTATTTTAAGACCTCGCGAACATTAAGGCAAAGGTGGAGAAAATCACACACATATGAAAATATGATTCAGGACTAGGAACAAGAAAGGTCAAAAGCCTATATATCATAGAAAAATCTCATGGCTATATATTATAAATACTTTCTTAGAAAAGAGATTCAGGAGCTATTGGATATGGAGAACACCAATAATATTATAAATAACTAAAATGACATTTTAACAAATGAGAAACAACTATTTACTATGTGAGACATTTCAGAATCAACTGTGTAGTACAACCATGAAATTATCAGAACAAAGATCAAATCAAAATCAAACTAAAAATACAATAAAAATAAAATTATCACCTGACTGATTTAAATAGCACCCTGTAATAAAAATGGAAAGCAGGTTAAAAAAAAAAAACAAAAAAACACTTGAACATCACCATTTTCTTGAGATATTTAACTAATGTAAGCTAACTGACAAAACAAAAATACCAAAAGAACTGCAGTCTAGAAAAAATAAAAAAAAAACACACAGAAAACTCACTTCAGCCAACACACCACGTGATCTTCATTCTAAGTAGAGAAATGTGTAATCAAAGGAGAATACTGGTTTAGAGGGAAGTTTGGGAGGCTCTAGGTAATGCTTTGAGAGTAAGATGATGAGTTCAGTTTTGGATATGTTGAAATTAAAATCCAAGTCATATGCCTGCTTTCCCATCTCTAATTTCATCAAAACTATAAAATATTTTGGGGAGATGTAACTATGGATACATTTTTTGTATGACTCTCTGATTATTATGCCAGTCAAAAAAGGGGAGATGAATGCTTGCCATTGTCAGGGAGGCTGAAGTTGAAATAGACAAGTTGTAAGGTCCACCAGATGCTACTGTTTGCAGATGATATTTATGCTGATTTCATCAAGCTTTAAAATGCTATATGGCTACCAAAATCATACCCATAACTGCCCAAGAAAGTGACCCAAATATACAGAATGGAAAAACTAAATGGATAACACATGCTAGTAGTTTATACTATGATATTCAATTGGATACATTACCCAAAGAATTGCTCAACCATTGTGTAAAGTGATAACGAACTCAATGAAGAACTGAATATGAAACTGACCTGTAAATTAGAGCACTTTAATGACCTTAAACTTCAGTCTGAAACTAAGATTTATGTTTCAAATATCTATCTTCTTCTTGTGATGCTTAATGGCTATAAATAATGAACTACCACAATCTCAAGGAATAACCAAAGGGCAATGAAGAAGGGCACATTGGGTACATATGCAAAACATTACCAACCAAGAACTGCAAAAGAGAAATGGCATTAAAAAATGTCATTAGGTAGATTTATGACCAGAAAAAAAAGTGGGCTAGTCATGTGGCAAGAGTAATTTACATTCTTCAAAAACTGTGGTGGTTCCATGACTTTTAGTCACAGCATTACTGAGAAGTTAAAAGTAGATAAATTTCTGCTTACTATAAGGAAGAACTTTCAAACGATTAAAACCGTTCAAGCTAAGCCTTTGATGACAACTGATTACATATATTATAGAAAAGATTCATGCATCTGGTAGGGGACTGAAATAGATGATTTACAAAATACATAATCAATAAAATGTTGAGATGTATTTCATTTTAGTATTCTGAGCTCTTCTTCCTCTTTATTACCACACCTATTCATTGTATTCTATTTTAAATTGGGGGTGAAGAAATTCAAGATATCAAAGAGATAACATCAATTATCACAATCAAGTGTATTCTTTTTAAAGTGAATAATATGTTAATTTTAAGGTACTCCTTTTACTTACCGGGTCAATAGTTTTAGGATTAAGTTTATCACTTGGCCGAGGGTGAGGTTTCTTTACAAAATCTGGAGAATTGTTGGAAGGTAATGACTTGTTTTGGTGTACTACAGATCTATGTTTTGCTTTGGAACCTGATGATGTTCTTTGTTCATAGGTCCCTATATGTTGGGGAAAAAAATTCAGGGTAAAATAAGGTTCACCTTCTGCACCCCTATGTATATAAAAATCCTATCATTAGAAAATGTACCAAATTATTTGACTACCTCTTCAGTGTGATACAAAGAACGTACCTGTCACTCTGTTTCTCATCTGTAGGCTTCCATGACTCTCAGATTTCTGCATTCTTCCTTTCTTAATGGTTGCTCCTGAAACTAAGAAAAAAATAACTTTAGTCAGCAGAAAAATCTATTAACAGTAGTAAGGCACAAAAGTAACACAGCCACAAGAAATAAAAGAAGGGAGTAAGTATACATTTTGCACCTATTACATGCCAGGAACTGTGCTAAACACAAATCTCTCATTTGATTCTCATAACAATCCTGGGAGGTAGGTGCTATTATTATCCCTATTTTACAGTTGAGAAAACTAAGGTAAAGAGAGGTTAAGTGACTACCCAGGATCACACAGTCACCAACTGTCTGAGGCTAGATTGTAACTCAAGTTCTCCTTGACTTCAAGCCCAGCACTCTAGCCACTACGCTACCTAGCTGGCAACAACACATTTTTCTTAGGCAGTTTAAAAGAGAAAGGAGAATTAGGAGAGCAAAATTCATAGTGTACATAGGAGAAATAACTGGCATAACAGAAAAACTTGAATCTGTGATGCCAAGCTTCAAAGATACAAGAGAGACAATGATTCATTTGGAATGCAAATACACAGAAGTAAAGAAAAATCTAGGAGGAGCAAAAACAACATTAAAAGAAAATATGCTCTCTAAGCAAAACATACTGATTTAGAAGACATGACAAGCAGAGACAAACCAAGAATTACTGGCCTCCCAGAAAAACAAGACAAGTCAAAAAACCTGAACAACATAAATAATACTAGAAATAAAACAAGAAAATTGCTCAGAACTTCTGAACACAGAATACTAATTAAAAGAATTCACAGGTTGATCAAAAAACCCAAAGCTACAAACTCTAAGAAACATAGTGGCTAATTAGCAATTTAATTCAGAAACAAATTCCCTGCAAGTAGAAACCTCTTCAAATACCCAGGCAGGCAAAGTTGAATAAAACAAGAGAGAATGGAAAGTATTCCAAAATGGAGCTTCAAAAGAATGGAGCTCAGGATGCAGCCCAGGGTGACCTGCCCTGCAAATCTGAGTTTAGCCATAAGTGAAAAAAAAAGATAGATGCTCAATAATAAAGAGGCATTTGAAACACTGTTAGAAAGAAAATCAGACCTGACGAGATTATATGCTTCTGACAGAGCAGAAAGACCAGTAAGAATTCTTTCTAAATGTACACTAGGAAACGGCAGTGAAAGGGGAAGTCAGGGCCTGGAGCATAAACAGACCCTGGCAACACACTACCTACAGGTGACTCAGTGTTTTTTTGTGGGCCTACATTATGAAACGGAAGGTTGTGTGAAATGGTGAGAGGAGAAAGGAGACAGAGGACAGTGTGATGCACATCTGGGTCCAATGAAGGTAAGGTCACTTCTTTGGGTTCTCAGGAAGAAAAGGGCCTGCAGAGTAGATGAGGAGGAGGGAGGGAAGATTAAATAGGGGACAGGAAAAAAGAGGGAGGCTTTGTTTTGGTGGTGGGACAGGGTTCCACTGATGAATGTTCCTGTGGCTGAAGAGAGGTTGGTTTATTTGACCCCTCAAGGTTCAGGTTAAAACAAATACCTGGGTTCAGAATTTCCAGAAAATTAGTACTCAGGGAAATGATACAATCACAGGCTTTATTGTTATGTCATGCAGCAAGCAGACAAACAAAGCACATATACACACTGTGGCAATAGAAAGATATAAAGGTCTGTCCCCACGTGCAAGAAACTCAACCCAGTGGGGCTGCAGTCAGCAAGATTACATACCCCCAAACAGGCTTGGCTGAAAGCAGGTAGGAGGGTCATTCCTAATCACAGCCAGATGTGTTCTTGGGGTCCTTCATGGACACCAGGCTTGGGTGAAGCTTGGACAAACTGGTGAAAGGGTCTAACATCAACTGAAGATAACTAACATCAACACATCGCACTCTCCTCTATCTCCTTTCTCCCCTCACCATTTCATACAGCCTTCCATTTCATAATGTGGGCCCACAAAAAACAGAGTTGCCTGTAGGTAAGTGTGTTGCCAGGTTCCACTTATGCTCCAGGAGAATGACTTAAGATCCCTACAGCAGATTTGAGTTCATACAACCAAAAAGGTGCAAGCCTTATCCACCTGATAGAGAACTAAAAACAGTGGGAAAATACAGCTATTTTTCCTATATGCCTCTATGGACATTAGGACCATTTAGTCTCAGTGATTCCATATCAAAGTCCTATCATTATCTCAAACAATATCCATGACATATGATATCAAACAACAAAAGTTTACAATTATCACAGAAGTGTTCTATGAATGGAGGTAGGGACCTTGTGCTGGATATGGTCTGAGGTATTTGGGGCTAAAAAAGACCTCCTACCTGGGGAAGGGACAGGCAGGGCTAAGAGGGCAGGGCAACGAGGGAAGTGGGAGGATACAGCCATAGGGAGATTCTGAGGAAAGTGGAGGTAGAGACTATCCCACCAAGGCACAGTATTCTCCCTGTTACCTGCAGGAACTAGAACTGTTCAGAGAGTGAGGGACAAAGGAGAAAGTGATAGAAACTGCTCAGAGGGAAAGGCCCAGAATGGGTACCTGGGAAATTCTGATTCCAAGAAAAATAACTATATGGGTTATGAACCAGAGAATGTGGATCTAGAGTAGAAAGAGTATGGATAATGAGGAAGTGAGAGAAATCCTTTCTAAAATAGGGTGAGAAAAAAAAAATTTTTTTAAACTAATGAAGACTAGTTAGTTTGAATGAAGAAGAAGTGGGATCTACGTGAAGGGCAAGGGCAAAAAGAGGGGAAGAATCAAATAACCATATAAAAGCAGGAAAGATAAAGGAATGAATAAACAAAATTCCAAGGAGAAAAGGGTGACAAATGGGGGTGGGAGGAAGAAGTGTAATTATAACATGAAAATACTCACTATTTGAGAGAAATGGAGGAATATGTGAATCTAATTCACAATTTTAAATGCGAATCCTAAAAGACAGAAGTTAAAATTATGCTATCTGACAAAAACAAAGATATTCAAAAAATAAAAAAGGAACAAAGAAATTACATTATGCTGAAAGGAACTAAGAAACAACAAACCAATGCCAGTAATAAACTTATACATTTGAAATGCCTTAGAACTAATTGATAAAGGAAACATTAACCCACTTACAAGATGTAGACAATAACATAAACAATGACAGGAGACATCAATATCCCCCTCTCAATTTTTTGGTTAAATTTATCAGAATGATAAACAAAAAGGCAAACAAATAATTGAATAAGTTCTTGGAGAAACTAAAGCATCTTCTAAATGGGAATATAAAAGAATCAGGTATTTTGCAGCACCACATGTAACTTTTACAAAAACTGATCATATAGCAGGGCATAAAGATTTCATAAACAAATGCTAAAAAGCAGAAATAGTAATTATATCCCTTATAGAACACATCTCAATAAAAACAGCCATTGATTCAGGAACCACAAACAAAAGACTCAGATCCAAATGGAGACTTAATGAATCGGTCAAGGAACAAATCATAAAAACTAATAATTATGTGAAAGAAAATGATAATACTGAAACAACATACCCAAATTTCTAGGTTGAAGCTAAAGTAGCTGAGGGGAAAGGGGGTTAATATCCCTATAAACATACATTAACAAATCATAAGAAGAGGGTTAATGAACTGAATACGAATTTTTCAAATTAGAAAAACAAACAATCCTAAAATAAGCACAAAACGAGATATTAAAAATCAGAAATGTTAAACTAGAAACCAAAAAGTCACATTAACGATAAAACAGCTTGCTTTTTTAAAAGATTAATAAAATTAATATACCTTTAGCTAATCTAATTAAAGGACAGAAAATCAAATCAATAAAATAGCAAATTAGCCAGCAATAGCCATATGCTAACAGAACTGAGAACACGAAAGAAGTAGAGTATTTAAAAAATATATAAAATACCCAAATTTCTAGAAGACCAGTTAAAAGATCTTAAATGACCCCATCTCAGAAAGGGCAATATATCTAGCTACAAAAGAACTACAAAAGAAAAGAGAAAAAAAAAACCTCTGTACCTGTTGAATCGATTGCCATCAAACTTTTAAACAATTAGTATCCTTACTTCATAAATTATTCTCAAAAACTGAGGGGGAAAGCATCCTACTAAAATCCTTTTGAGACAAATATAGTCCTAATACCTAAACAAGAAAAGAAAAAACACAGGAAGAAAACTATAGGTGAATATCATTAATGAATATCGCCTAAAAAAACTTAACAAAATCCTGTCAAACAAATGACAGCAATGGGAACTTGATTATATTTATATCTTCAGCTGTTAGCATAGTGCTTGGCACATAGTAAGCGCCAAAATATTTAGAGATAGATATATTTGTTATGTAGATATATGTATTTATTATATAGATGTATTTATCTATCTAAACAACTCTGAAAACGTCAGTGTGTATGGAGAGAGAGAGATAGTGAATGTGAGTGTGTGTGTGTGTGTGTCCCTGGCCAAATCACTTACTTTACTTTGTATGCCTCAGTTTCCTCATCTGTACAATAACCTGGAGAAGGGAACGACAAACCACTCCAGTATCTTTGCCAACAAAACCCCATAGACAGAAGAGTCGGAAAGGAGTGAACATAACACATTTGCCAGGCACTTTGCTAAGCAGTGGGGACACAAAGAAAGGCAAAAGGAGTCCCAACCTTCCAGGGGCTCACTTTCTATGGAGGAAGCAATATACAAAAAAGTACGTACACCGAAGAAATTCCTACAGTGTAAATGGAGGGTAATCTCAGAGGGAAGGCCCTAGCTGTGGAAGATTCTTGAAGGAAGTCAGGGCTTCTAAGAAGCTCAAGGGAAACAGCACACCACGCATTGGGAGAACGGCCAGTAAAAGGCAACGGAGTCGGGAGACTTAGTGTCTTTCCTCGGGGTCTCAGTTTCCACCTCCGTAAAACGAGGGGATTGGACTACCGATATCCAAAGACCTAAGGCGTTGCAGGGTCAGCCTTCCAGCCTGCACTGTTCTCTCGACCATCCTTCGGGCCAGCGCAGCTCTGCTAACAAAAGGATTAAAAACCGGCTCTCCAAATTCCCAGGCTGAGTCCGGTTCCAGTGAGAGGTAACAGGTCACAACTGGGTACTAAGAGGAGGAAGAGCGGGGGTGGGGGGGTCAGGAAGAGTAACAAGAGGTACCAGACATTAAGCCGAGTCACGAGAAACGTCTAGCGGTTCCCAGACGCCCCCCCGCCCACGCCCCAGGCAGAGGGATTTTCTCCACAGTCAGCCCGAGGCCAAGAGGGCGCCGGAGCCGCCACGGCACCATAGCAACGGGCCAGCCCGCCCGCCGCTGGGGACAAACAGGAAAAGCATCAGAGTCACCTGATCTCCAAGAGCGCAGGCCTCCGCCGCAGCCGTCCTACCACATAGCTCCCGGCCCCGAATCCCTAAGTCCCTTCATACAGGCCGCGATCGGCACAGACACCCGGACCGGGGCCGTCGGACCCGGTACCACTCGAGCCAGTTCGGGTTGCCGCGGATAAGGCGCAGAGGAAGAGACAACAGCTCCAAAGGTGCGTCATCTGCCTCGACACGTCGTCGCGGTGACGTCAGACGCTTGGCGCGCCAGCCTCCCGCTGAGCCAAGGAGAAGGCGCTGGCGGGCTCGGGGCGGGCGTTAGTGGCCCCTCCATGTAGGGGCGGGTCACGTGGTTCTGGAAAGCGAGAAAGAAGAGGCAGAAAAATGAAGAGATATTGGGAAATTCTTCCCAATTTGAACTAGTTCGTGGCGCAGTGGCTACAGCATTGGCCCTGGAGTCATGAAAATCTGAATTCAAATCCAGCCCCAGACACGCAGTAACTGTTAACGCTCTCACAAGTCATTTTATCAGCCTCAATTTCCTCATCTGTAAAATGAGGATAGTAGTAATAGCTATTTCCCAGGGTTGCTGTGAGGCTCAAATGAGATCTTTGTAAAGCACCTGGCACATAGTAAGCACTATATAAATAAATGTTAGCCATTATTAAGAGACCTATTCTGCAGTCATTCAGAGACTGCCCTGAGCTAAACTATCAGCATGGTGGAATGGACAAGAACTGTCCTGGAAATGAGATATTTGTGAAGCAGCATGGTACCTGGCATACAGTAGGTGCTTATTAAATGCCTGTTTCCTTTCCTGCCTGGAAATTAGGAGACCACCATTCATGTTCTGCCTCTGATACTTACTGATTGTGTGGCTCTGGGCAAGTCACTTAACCTCTTCAGGGCTCTAGGCCAGAAGTGTCAAATACACCTGGGGCAGCAGAGCTCCCTAGTACAGCCCAAAGCAGATTAAAATGTAATTGGAAATACATAATGAAATAAAAATACAATTAAACATAGATAACACTACATTTTGAACCTAAGTCAATGTGTGACCAGCAAGGACTTTATGTATGGCTTAGTGGCTCTCAGTTTTTCTCTGAGTTTGACATCGCTGAACTAGGCAACTGTCTAAGAATTTACATTTCAGAAAATATACTCATTTTCCTTGTTAGAGGGAGTTTTCTCATTCAGAAAGTTCCCTATACCAGTGAATTCACATTTTATCTAAAATGCTAAATTTACTTCCTGAAAAATCCACTCAGAGGACCAAATATAATGTGGCATAATGTCTGTAGGGCATGCAGGTGGTACAGTGGGTAGAGTACCAGGCCTGGAGTCAGAAAGGCAGTCTTCCTAGTTTAAAAGTGGCCTCAGACACCTAATAGCTGTGTGACTGTAGGCAAGTCACTGAACCCTGTTTGCCTCAATTTCCTCATCTGTAAAATGAGTTGGAAAGGGAAATGGTAAACTGTTACTACAGTATCTTTGCCAAGAAAATCCCAAATGGAGTTATGAAGAGTCAGATATGACAAAACTTAAGTGTCTGTAAATCAGTTTTCAGATTCACTTATTAGCAGGTTTCCTTCTAGGTAATTACAAACATTTTCATTTCCCTTAAATGCTTCATTGCTGTGTATCTTGGGAAAACTTGTAGACTGAATTTTCCCAAGATGGGAGAAGTAAGGTGGGAGCTGGGGCTGGGGGAGTGTTTGGAGATCCCAAGCATCCATTTCATTCTTATACAAAACACTGAAGTGGGGTAGTATGGGGGGGGGAGAGAAAAGACTGGTAGGTGGGAGCCAGAATGGGGGTGGGGGCACTTTAAATGCTAAGCTGAGGAGTTTATATTTTTATCCTGCAGGAAACAGAGATCCATTAAAGATTGTTGAATAGTGTGATGACATGTTAGATCTAGGTTTTAAGACTATTAACTTAGCTTGGCAATACCTTAGCTCTACTCATATAAACTGCAGCCTGGCTGAAACCCTCATGCCTGGACATGGGGGTGGGGGTGGGAAACAGGCTAGATAAAGGGTAACCAGGCATGAGGTAATGAGCGTTTGGGCCAGGCTGGAGTTTATGTGAGTGGAGCTAAGGGGCAGGGGCTGATAAATGAGAGGTAGGAGAGACAAGACCCAGAAACTGATTGGCTGTAGGAATTGAGGGAGACAGAAGAATAAAAAGTGTTTCGAGGTTTGTCATTAGGTTCCTGGAAAGATAGTAGAGTCGTTAAAAGAAATGAGAGATTTTGGAAGAGAGATGGGTTTAAGGAAACTATGTGTCCTGTGCCTCTGGAACAATGGAAGGAGAAATCCTTACCTGCTTAGTTGGAGAATGGTTCTTCTGTGCTGGAGGAGGGAAGATTGTTTTCTCCCTTTCCATGGAATATCTATGGAAATATCCATTTGCTGAAAAGGAAAACAAGAGGGTTGCCAGCTGTGTTGGACTTAGGTGCAGAAGAGAAAGAAACTATTGGTATTTGTATCCAGACATTGGTTTGATTATTAAGATCAGTACACTGAAAACATGCCTTCTACTGCCCTGTAGTTTGTGTGCCAGGGTGCTGCATAATCTAAGCTTTAAAATAGCTGTACACTACTTTTATATAGACATGTTTGAGAAACTACTCAGTGCTCATAGAAACTCTACTGCACCCCTGAAAAATAGTGACCATATGAAATGTGAACAGTGATAGATGAACCTTTTATATAGAGAGAATTTGATGTCAAATCAAAAAAGCCATATTTATTTCTACCTGAAATGCTTTCTGAAAATATTATCCCTTCTAGTCATGGCCTTTAGAAGCCATGTGTTTTTAAATACCCTATCTTAAATACACTATTTTAGGTTCAAGGATTTTATGATACAGATAAGTAGGAGTTCATGACGAATGTTTTCAAATAGTTTATTCATATGTGTCATAGGAAAGTATCAAGTTCAAGAACATATTTTGCATTTTTAACTTTGGTCTCAAACCTTTCCCAATTTTGTAATTTCTTGTCAGGAATGTTTGACTCTTTTGGTAAATCTAGATTGTCACATAATAAGAAAACATATTATTGTACATGCTAACTATGGAATGCCTGAAACCACTGGGAACCTTCTCTAGCTAATAATAGGGTTATGCAAACTCAGTTGGTGGAAAGGAAGCAAAATATATACCATATAATCTGGGTCCACTTGATATGCCATAAAATATACATTAAACATAGCATTCATCTTACAAACTTAGACAATAATTGAAAGAAATGAAGATTAGGAAAAGATGACATTGTAAATAAAACAGGCCATTTTTTTTTACAGTTTCTGAAAGCTCCTGTAGATATTAGCAATTCAAAGCTAGTCTTTATGCTAAGTCCTGTTGAATTACCCTGTATATTTGGATTTGTTCTTTTAATAGTTCTTTGACAGTTTAAAAGAACAAATCCAAATATACAGGGTAATTAAATAGCATGTACATAGTGGTATCTTTTCTAAAAAGATAACAGTTATTATGGACTTCCTCTTACTGTTATTAACATTAATAATATAGATATTACAAATTTAAGTTTAATTATAATTAACATTAAACAATAACAATGGCATTTACAATAATCTCTTGATCATTAACCATTTTTTGCACATGAACTAAAATGTCATTTTCTCATTAATAGCATATTAAGCATATTTCCTTTCATTCAAACTTTGTAAAAAAAAATGCTTACCATCATTCTGGAATTGACCTATATAGTTCTGTAAGTGAGAAACATAAATGGTTTGATGAGATGTAGGTAAACCTAGTTGGTATCTTGTATTTTGGTGGATCCATGATGAGTAATCTGAATTCGTACTTCCTCCCTTGGTGCTTATACAACTCCACTATGCCATTCCATTCTGTGTAAATCTGTATTTTTCCCTTAAATCCTGAATAGAAGATCTGCTCAACAAGCTGTATGTATTCCTCTTGTTCTTTCGATGTTCCAGGCAAACCGATGAAACAACTGGGCTATCCATCTGTTGTCTCTCATTCTCAACACATAACTTGCTCATCTCTTTTTCTCTTCTTACACTTGCTTGTTAATGTCTCTTCCATTGTTTCTTGTGTGTAGGTGGTCATTGGTAACATGAAGCAGTATGTTTATGCCCACCATGCCTCTTGACATTGCTCTTAACTCATTTAAAATTTTAATCCTGTGATTGTCACGTTTCAGGATTCACAACCATGTAAACATTGGAGTTAAAAATCACCTGCTGCTCTTTGAGCTTTTACTGGAATAGTTTGTTATCTTTTGAAACGTTATATTTCAAATGTGATGTAGCTTAATTTCAGTTCATTGACTATGACTTACCTGCCCTCTCATTCTGGCATTTCCCTCAGTGCCAGGGTGCTTTTATCCCATACAATGTACCTTTGCCATGCTGGACCCCTTGTCCCACTGGTAAGCTTCCGTTTTGGAGATAGGCCTAGACTGGCCGTTCTTCATTTTCTTCTTCATGCACTTCTGTCTCTACAGATTTTGCCATCGTACCCCTCTCCCTTCCAGCCCCCTTTTATATGTTAGTCTTCCACCATTAAAATATAAGCTCTGTGAAGGCAGGGACTATCATTTTTAGTTTGTATTTGTATCCCCAGTACTTAGCACAGTTCTTGGCACGTTGTAAGCATTTAATGAATGCTTGTTGCCTGCCTGATATCTGTAATACTTGTCAGATATAGATATAGATATAGATATAGATATAGATATAGATATAGATATAGATATAGATATAGATATAGATATAGATATAGATATAGATATAGATATAGATATATAAATATATATAAAATCCACTTTGTTTTTTCCTTGTGGAACATTACACCAATATGTGCAATTGTTAATGAAGAGACTTTGCAATATTCCAAACTCAGTGTATAATGCAGCATTATGCAGGCTAGGGAGAAGAACATTCAAGGAATAAATAATTGTTTTGTTTAGACTTTGGGCAAGATATCTTCTGATACATATAGGTCAATGTGTATCTTTCCATTTGACACCTTGTTGATGACAGTAGTCAGCAGATAAAGCCAAAGGGATCAAACAACAGGTAAAGAAAAATCGAAGTGAAAATGTCACAAAGTCAATTTTATAATGAAACTACATGAAGTTTTACAAATTCACTTATTTATAAGATAATAAAAAGGAATTGCTCCTCAGTAATTTTTACAGAACTGGAACACATTTCATTCAGTTTTTTACTTAGCTGATGAATGGCAAGGAAATGTGAATGACAACAAATGATTCCTATTGGAGTATGAAAAGGTACAATGACTCTTTTAAGCCTCAGAAAGTCTTATAAGCCTCTTTTAGACTTAAAAGAGCCATCATACCTTTTCATATTCATATTC